GATAAAAATAATGCCCTAAAATATAATACTTTTAGTAGTTCCACTCTGTCATCTGGGGTTGCTGTGAGTCCCCAAGCAATTCAATCAGCACACAGCAATAACATCATTTATGGAGGACTTTGAGGCTACTTGCTGAGTGTGTGTTCACAGCGAGCTATTTGGTTCTCCATTTTTTAGAAATGTTGTTTGTTGTCCTGTCAGATACGTACTGAGTTGTTACTAGGTGCTCTGCAGCACATAGAAATACCAAGGTGAACACACACCTGGTTCATCATTGCCTTTAAGGGATGTCCAGCCCAGTAAGGCACATGAACGTGAAGCTAGTCCATGCATGTGTACGCATATGTGCACACATGACAAGTGGATCTGACCTGGCATCGGGTAAGTAGTCAAGGAAGGAGGCCTTTTTTTGAGCTCTAAAATTTCACCTGAGAACAGAACAATAAGAACTTTTGCTGCAAATAGTGAATCTCACTGTTAATCTTCTTATTCCCTAGAAGGAACAAAAAATGTACTTCTTATATTTTTTTTTTATTTGTAAACTCTGTGTGTGTAGTGCATCTCTGTCAACTGAAAATCTTCATCCTTCACAAACTGTACATTTTATGTATCCTTCATTCATTCACTTATTCATGGGCTGTTCATTTCTCAAGTAGCCCAGATATGCAAGCCACTGTGATCAGAGCTGTGTGCTGGTCCTCGTGAAATCTGAAATGCCATGCGTGCTGTTTCTGGTGGATTGAAATGCCAGCATTTCATTGACAGGGTTTAAGAACTGTTTTCATTCCCTCCCCCCCCCAAACAGGACAACAGTTTTGAACAGTTCATTATTAATTACTGCAATGAGAAGCTGCAACAAATCTTCATTGAATTGACCCTTAAAGAAGAACAGGAAGAATATATTCGGGAGGTAATGTTCAAGTCCTTTCTCTTTCTTTTATTTTTTTTTTCTTTTTAAAAATTACTTCATTTGAGCCAAAGGCTTACAAATCATACTCGTTTTTCATACATTTATAGACATTTTTGTTTGGTATAGACATTATTATTTTATAAGAGCAGTTATCATTGATTAATTAATTAAGATCTCTAATCAGCCCTCATTGTGTATTGCCTTTCTCTTTACCCAACCCATCAATTTATTAAATTTTACTCCCTTTCCCTCCCTTCCTATCCCTGTACAATGCCACAATTGGTTGTATCAATATGTTAACCTTTCCTTAACTTTGTTTAACAGCAGCCCCATATCATGATGACTCTCTTCATTACATTTTATTACCCATTCTTATGTTACTGACATATGAATTCTCAAATACTTTTTAAAAATGTTCTTCTTTTGTAAATTTTTTAAAAGAAAATATCTTCAATTAAAATATTTTATTTAACATTTTTATTCTCTTTAAAATATTTAAATACATAAATTGTGGATTCCAAAACTATGTAAACACTACTTTGAAATACATATATATTCACATTATTTAAAGTAACCAGGTTTATGGTCTTAATTTGCTTTTTGCTACCATTTCAATGTGTCAGAACAATGCCTAGCACCTAGTAGATGTACAGTACTTATCAGCTGATTCACTGTGGTCTCATTGGAATTGAGCGATGATGTAAAATAATAATAATGAGTTAAGAAATTAGCCCATACAAACAACCCTGGCATATTCATGCATTAATTTTATGCAATAATTGTCCTTATGAGACTGATTTAGTTAATTTAGCATAATGCTGTCTGGATTCTCCCATGTTATATTGTATTCTACAAAATTGTTGCTCAGTGCTGCATAGTGTTCCATTGTGTGACTGAACAGTAATTTCTCAGGTCATTTGTTTGCTGATGGATATTCAGGCTGTTTCCATGTTGTTGGTATTATGACTAATGCTGCTGTGAACATAGATGTAGGTGTACAAATCCCCATTTGTGTCTCAGTCTTATTTTCCTTGGGGTGTATTTCCAGCAGTGCAGTAGCTGAGTCATATGGGATAACTAGTAAGACATAGATAAAAGTCCAAAAGTGAGGAAGGGCACGGAGGCAGAGGATGGAGAAGAGAGGAAATCCCTAGGTTAACAGTTTAGTGAGTTGAGTTTGGATGTGAAGGAATTAGGAAAGATCCATTGGGAACCTGGAAAGGCAAGGTAATAATAGTAGGCATAGATCAATGGTAATTAGTTTTATAAAACACAGTATATATAAATGATCGTTTTAAACACAATATGAATGTAAGAATGTGTGAATTGCAGAGCACAGGAATGATACACAGCGTATATGGATTTTGTATGCAAGCCAGTATGAAATGAAAATAGAGAAAAAGAAATTCATGCAACTGAATGCCACTCAGTCATTTTAAAGAACTGATAGTTGATATTTCCAGGAACATGGATGACACTCAAAAGCAACTACAGCCAGCCTGAGAAGACTGCATATTATAGAGTTCCGTTTTTATGTTAGTTTGGGAAAGGCAGCTGCAGAGATAGAATAGTCAGTGGGTTACAGGAGATTTTGACTGCAAAGAGAGTCTATGTGTGGTTAGTGGCAGTTACACAGCCCAGGCATTTGCCAGAGCAGGGAGTTGTTCTGCTACCCCAAATGTAGCACCTCTCTGGCTGTTCAAATCCACCCGCTGCTCCACACGGGCTGTCTCCTCGTGTGCAGTTCACAGCCTGGGGAACCCACCGGAAGGTGCCTCCAGGGGCTGACTTAATGGTGGTAGATTTGAGGTTTTTGACACCAAAATAATCAATATTAGTGGACATAAGTTAAAGTATAATTTAAAGCATTACTCAGTCTTGAAAGGCTTTTTAAAAAAAATTGATGAACAAAATGAGAAGGATCTTTTGTGGAAAAACAATGTATCCAAACTTTGTAAATAAATCAGAGTAATATAAAAAATATAAATATAAAAAATCAGAGTAATACAAAAAAATTTAAAAAATTAAGGAAACAGTTTTTTAATAAAAATAGCTAACATTGCTTGGCACTGTTCTATATTTTATATGTGAATTCTCTCATTTAATGTAATGTTTGTCAAGTTTCATATTGTTTAATTATAAAATATTTACTTGTTTTCATAATTTAAATAGCCAGTCTTCTTTTATAAACATGAAGTAATTTATTTCAAAAAAATAAGGAATTGTATCTATATTTTTGCCCCATTTATTTGCTGTAATCCATTAGTAAAGACATTACTTTTGTTCAGCTTTCTGTAGTGTTGTTTTAATGTATTAAGTACACAGAGTCTTTTGAGAGGTTTTTGTTGTCACTGTATTTTAAAAAATGTGGTTGTTATCCCCAGTGACTTAGTAAAACAATCCATTTGCTCTAAATCATAAATACTTCCTCTTTCTTTTAGAATGATCGTTATGCTTTAGAAGCATTTTAGCCTTGTCTGGCACCTTTTGCAAACATAAACATCCTAAAAAGCCCGATTCATTCTCTTCCGGTCTTCTCATAATAAAGAGCTTGCTCAAACTTTGATCTGTAACTTAAAACAGTTTGTACAGATTGTCTAAGACACTTCTAAGAGTATATAGGAAGATTCCCAGCTTGCTGAATGAATTAAATTTCTTCTTCTCAAAAGATAAAGAAATGTTTACACTTAGGGATGGAGTGTAAAAAGGCCCAGAATGAGCACGCTGACTGCAGACTTGGCTTCTAGCCAGTGTTACAACCCGTTGACCGATTTTCATGTGTTCCATTATGTCGGAAGCATTTTGTTTAGCACTGGGCTTTTTGAATACTTGAAATAGTGAAAGAGTTAACCATTTTGCAACCATATATTTAAGAATATCGAAATATTCTCAGCTTGTCCCTATTCACTGGAGTCACTTCTCCAGTGAAAACTAATTCCCACCCCTTTGCAATTGAAAATTAACAAGGGGGAAAAAATGTAGGTCTTAGATTGTTGGGATCAAGCAAGTTCTGACATATTTCCTTATAAACATAGTAAATATATACAGAGGAATATTGACCTCACGAACTGTTGAGTCAAGACTCGGCCCGGTGCCAGCGAAGGACATGGGAAGTAGCCACAGATGGGAGCCTGGAATGAGAGACGGCCCGTTCAAGATCATTTGTTTTAATCGAATAGAGTCAATGTTGGACTGCTGTGCTCAGAAAGTTTGTGGAACTGGAAGGGGGACATTTGTAGCACTGACTCTATAAACCAAATATTCTGAGAGGAAATAAAATATGTTGAGGCAGGTGGGGTGTTTTAAGGATGTGATAGTATTGCTGCATCATGATACAGAATCTGATTTTGTTTTGTTCCGCCTTTACCTTGTAGGACATAGAGTGGACTCACATCGACTACTTCAATAATGCTATCATTTGTGACCTAATAGAAAATGTGAGTACATAGATAACATTTCCTTAAAAGTAGGTTTTTTGGTTTGATAGAAATAATTACTTACAAATAATCTTACTGCTTTCTGTGATAAGCATTTGTATTTAACCACTGTGCCACTTTCTTTGTCACTTTCTTTAAGGAAATGTAGAATTCTGGAGACTTATATTTGTAAGAAATCATATGCTATTCTCAAACACATACATAAACACCTGGGCGTTTTAATATGCCCCAGGACATAACATGAGCCCATCTGTGGTTCTAAGGTACTGAGCCCCTACATAGAGCAGCCTGCTTTTGTGTGTCTAGAACACGGGTTCAATCCAGGGTCACTGACCGAGTGAACACTGAATAGAGTAGCTTCCAAGCAGCCATTTGGGTATTTTATAAATTTAACCATTGCATTTCCTAAAACTCCAGTGCCCCATTCATATGGGAATAAGGAGCAGGGAGAAGGGAGTGCCAAGGGGTGAATTTAACAGGACCCCCGAAAAAATTTCAAGTTGACTTGATTTGGCCCATGGACTGTGTGCCGAAGATACTATATGTGACAGCGCAGTGACCAAGGCCATGGAAACTTTTTGGTGATGCAAGTATATGAAAAGACTTAAAGTATGATAAATTATTTGATGCTTTTTTTTTTTATGCTTTTTTAAAATTATGTTTCACGCATGTACTTTTTTTTTTTTTTTTTGCTCCCTCCCTCCAATCCACAAAAGTCTTCGACCTCAGGATTTCTCCCCTCCCCTCTTTGTATATCCATGACATCCCACTGGTTATCCTTCTGTTTTTATAATAATGGTCTTATACAGTATTTCTTCTTAGGCTCCTGAGTTAGTTCACTCAGCTCAATGCTCTCTAGCTTCTCCCATGGTATATAGTGTTGCTCTTGAGTGCTATATAGTATTCCATTGTGTGAAGGTTCCCTAGTATCCAGTCATTTGTTGATGGATATTTTGGCTGTTCTTGATATTGTGAATAATGCTTCTATGAACATAAGTGTAAAAATCTCCATTTGGTTTTGATGCTTTTTACCACACCTTCTGAACTTTTGGTTTTACACCACATTCTGCATTTATATGAACTGACTGGTGAAATGGATTTGTGTGTGGAACTAGGAAGCTCTTTTGCTTTAAAGTTAAAGCTTAACCATGAAGGCTTTAAGGTGTGCTTACAGTCCTGGCCTTGGTAGAGGAACACTTTTGAAACAACGTCTTAGAGGCTTTGTTGTCTTTCAGGCCTAAGAGCAGTTAGTTAGAGCAGTTGTCTCAGAGAGGCAAGTGCAAGGTTTCTGAAATAAAATATCAGGCTCTAAAATGACAACAAATCACTCACTTTCTGTTCATGACGAACAAATCCTGTTGAAACTTAGGTAGTGCCAGTTTTCCATCCTAGAATTCCAAGATGTTCACAAGAGTGGAATAGCTGGTTAAATTGAATGTGAGTAGTAGTCTAAAAAGCATCACCATTTTAATAAAAATGTTGTTGTTGTTATGTGCCGTCGAGTTGCTTGCGACTCATAGCGATCCTATGTACAACAGCCCTAAACTCCGCTCTGTCCTGTGCCGATCGTACTGTCTCTGACACTCCCATCCCGATTATCCCAGTCACTGAATCAATCCACCTCATAGAGGGCCTTCCTCTCCTGCGCTGTCCCTCCACCCTCCCAAGCATGATATCCCTCTCCAGGGACCGGTCCCTCCTCACAACATGTCCAAAGTATGTTAGACGGAGCCTCAGAATCTTTGCCTCCAAGGAGCCACCCAGTTTAACCCTTTCCAGGACAAATCTGTTTGTTTTCCTAGCAGTCCATGGTACTCTCAATACTCTTCTCCAGCACCACAGCTCAAAGGCATCAATTCTCCTTCTATCCTCCCTGGTCATTGTCCAACTCTCTGATGCATAACAAGTGATTGCGAAGACCATAGCCTGTATCAGACACACCTTAGTCTCCAGAGAGATACCATTGCTCTTCAGTACTTTGGAGAGGTCCCTAACAGCAGACTTTCCCATGGCAATGCGCCTTTTAATTTCCTGGCTGCTGGTGCCAAGACTGTTGACTAGGGAGCCAAGCAAACTAAAGCTGTGTACAATCTCAATCTCTTCACCATCCATCCTGATGCTGCCAATTGGTCCAGTGGTGAGAATCTTTGTCTTCTTGACATTGAGCCTCAATCCATATTGTAGGCTGCAGTCCTTGACACTCTGCAGCAGGCAGGTGCGCGACATTCGTTCTGGCAGGCCCTCAGAGGAGGGGTTAGGCATCCGACTAGCTTAATAAAAATACTATTTGAAAAGTATGAACAGTCTTAAAATGTGAACACTGGTATTCCCAGAAGCAATTCCAAACTCATCAAAAATCTTGGAAATCCTTGGAGAGTTTTCCGGGTAAATCTTGTGACCTAGGCAGTTCGCTGTGGGAACTTTAACTTTCAGAATCCCTGACCAGCACATTTTCTTTCTTAAACCATAGTGTTTAATTATTTTCTTTCATGAAAAAATAAAAAACGGGGGAGGAGAGAAAAGGAAGAGCAGTAATGCACTTAATTTAGCAAGATTATCTCAGCCAAAAAAATTCCCTTGCATATATGATTGCAAAACCTCATGCTCGCGCAGGAGCCTAAGTACGTAAATAAAGGAAATGTTTCCTTCCAGTATCCCTTAACAATCATGTTTATTCTGGGGCTGTTTTGAACACACTTGGGCCTTGAGAGTCCACACTTCCCCTGGGCTTTGTCTGGATTGAATAAGCCCTGGCTGGAAGATTCCGTGGCCCCTGGAGGAGAGGGAAAGGCCGTGCCTCACTGGATGTGGGGGAGGCTGGCTGTCAGTGGTCATGGTGGTCCTCTTTGACACATACTGGCCAGTCATCAGCACCAACCTTTAAGGGTGATCCTATACTAGGATATACTAACAACAGTCATCCAGCAGAGTTAAGAGGCTTCCTCATTCCTTTGTCTGTTTAGGATAAATATGACCACAGGCTTTGAACACACAAGTAAATTCTCACTCATGTTTACCATCCATTTAGAAATCCTATATGAAGTCGGAATTTTATTCTAAACACTTACTCTTGAAAACAGCTTGATTGTATGCATCCCTAAAAGCAGCCTTCAGAAAAAGAAGAAAAAAAAATTACAGCATTTTTCCCCCCTAGGAAATAAATGTTATTTTGAACACATGAACAATTTGGAAACATCTGAAGTCAGTTTCCTTCCCCAGCTAAGACTCAAACAATGGCCTTAGAAGACTGCTTTGCAATTTATGACAGCATGTTATAGAGACTGTACTGTCACATTAGTTTTGTACTTCTGGATTTGTGAGAGCTTGAGCCTTTGAGATTCCACATGCCTTTTCCTCCCCCCAGACAATATGAGGTGCAGTCATCCGCCCTCTAAAGTGGTGTGGGTGATACCTCGACCCTATTCTGTGGGGGATGGAGTCAGTGTCAGGATTAGCAAAGATTTATGCAGACACACTCCTGCCCTCACACACCTGGGTCGAGCTGGAGGAGAGCTGAGTGCTGTGGCTTTTTTTCTTTGTTTGAGCCCTCTAGTCTTTGTTTCAATTGAGCAGAATTTTCTTGTGACCCAGTTGATTGTGTTTGATGGTGTAATTGGGAGTAATTATTAAAACAATGCAGTGAGGAAGGAAACGTCATTTCCTTTATTCCAGAACACAAATGGAATCCTGGCCATGTTGGATGAAGAGTGTCTGAGGCCCGGCACGGTCACCGATGAGACCTTCTTAGAAAAACTCAACCAGGTCTGCGCCACCCACCAGCACTTTGAAAGCAGGATGAGCAAGTGCTCCAGATTCCTCAATGACACGACTCTGCCTCACAGCTGCTTCAGAATTCAGCATTATGCTGGCAAGGTATGGCCAGCCTGGAACTATGTCCCCAGGGAAGAGAGATTCTCTGTTGTCATGTCATTTAGACTCATGGCTCCCTTGTGGGGTGGGTCCCTGGATAGCTTTCAGGTTCCAGTGTCAGATCCATAAGGAATTGCACAGCTAACCCAAAGACTGCTTCTCCTCTGGAGGTTTAAATCCACCAGTGGCTCCTCAGCAGAAGGATGGACAGTCTCTTCTGTGTGATTTACAATCCGCGGAACCCAACTAACAGTCAGCTCTGAGTCAGTTCCAACTCCGTGGCGGTGAGTTGAGTTTGGGTGACTTCTTTGAAATGCGTCTCCAGGCCTTTATCCCAGGGTACCTTGGGGACTGTCGACTTTGTGTGTAGCCAACTCATAGCCTTGGAGACAGATCTGACTTACAGCTAAACTTTGATTTCGTTTCCCAGACTGTAAATCACTAAGGAGTTAATTGCTGGTCTTCCTTTCGGGCAGCCTTGCATCTCCCTACAGATTATGGCACCAGAGCTCCCTTGTCATTCAGTTGCTAAATTAAATATTGTAGCAGGGACTCCTTACATCTCCAAGAGAGGCATTCTTAAACAAACTTTCATGTAAAGTCAAGTGCAGCTGGCAAGTAGCGAATCATTAGATGTTTCATAGTCTGGACCATGTTGAATTAAATCATATCAGTTCAGATAGCCAAACCAGTGGGCTTAATGAAGGATCCAAATAGATTTTTAAATTTACACTAACCCAAGAAAAAGATCTGTTAAAACTGATAGAAGAGGTTTGCCAATAAAAATGAGAGCATACTGAAGACTAAACAGTAAGGTTTTAAAAGTATAAGTCATTTAATAAAAAATCATGATTCTTGGATTGAGGCTTTGGCATGACACTAGAGAAATCTCCACCTTTTAATAAATATAACTTATTAATAAACATCACTTACTTGATACTTAGGGGAAATAATTTTATGCCATTTACTATATATATATATATAACACTAATATAAATTGTTGTTGTTATGTGCCATAGAGTAGCTTGTGACTAATAGCGGCCCTGCTCTATCTTGTGCCAACTTTAGTATCTCTACACACCTACCCTCATTACCCCAGTCACTGAATCAATCTATCTCATTGAGGGTCTCTCCTTTCTCTGTCCTTCCACCCTCCCAAGCATGATGTTCCTCTCCAGGGACTGGTCCCTCTTTGAAATATGTCCAGAGTATGTTAGACGAAGCCTCAGAATCCTTGCCTCCAAAGAGCAGCCTGGTTTCACCCTCTCTAGGATGAACCTGTTTGTTCTCCTAGCAGTCCATGGTATATTCAATACTCTTCTCCAGCACCACAACTCAAAGCCATTAATTCTCTTTCTGTCATCCCTAGTCATTGTGTAGATTCTGATGCATAGCAAGCAATTGCAAAGACTGTGGCCTGGATCAGGTGCATCTCAGTCTCCAGACTGATGTCATTGTTCTTTAGTACTTTGGAAAGGTCCCTGACAGCTGACTTTCCTAATGCAATTAGTCTCTTGATTTAGACAACATTAATTTTTTTTAAATTTTATTTTATTAATGTTAATGAACATTTACAGAGATTTTGGATTGTCATTCATTCATTGTTGCACTGTTTTCTTTACACCCTCTCCCCCCAGTTCACTCCTCTCTTTAAAAGCAAAAGATAAACTTCATTGGTATACAATCCCCTCAACCCTGACCCAGACAACCCCCCCCACCCGCCCCCAATGCACTCTGCTATGCAACCTTAATTCTGGATTCCTGTGATAATCATAATATGCTATCATATATCACAATATTAATTTTTTAAAAGTCTGAAGTGTTATTCAATCCCTTCTTATTAATAAGTTGTAATTTCCAAAGAGAGAAGAGTACTCTATATTTAGCAAAAAGTAAATACATAATTCTTGAATTATTTTGCATTTCAAAATATAGAAGCTTGGTATTTCTAAATTTTCACCAGACCATGGGCATACCGTGCTTTACCGCGTCTTGCAGATACTAGGTTTTTATTTCTTTGGTTTGGGTTGTTTTAGAAATTGAACTTTTATGATAACTGTGTGTACAACAAGTCTGTTGGTACTATTTTTCTGAAAGTAGGTGTTCTTTTTGTATTTGTGTGTCACATTTTGGTTATTTTCATATTTTTTCCCTCATTAATGCTCTTTGCACACTTAAACTACTAACTCAAATCCAGTGTTGTCAAGTCTGAAGCAACTGCTAGCTCACTCTTGTGGGTTTCTAGAGACTGTATTGCCCTAGAGAGGTTTACCCATCCTTCTCCTGTGGCTCAGCTGGAGTTGTTCAAACTGCCCAGAGAGGCACCACCTTTGGTTAGGAGCGCGACTTCCTATGGACTAGACCACCAACGCTCCCTCACTAAACTACAGTCCTTGATGTGGACATAACTGTGGATGGAGAAACCAAAATATTTATGTGACTTTTTAAATTTCAATATTCACTTGATTGTGAATTACTCTTCTGTTACTGAGACAGAATTTCAACTTGGAAGCTAATTTGATATTATATAGTGTGATTAACATGGTCTGGAATCAAACCTGCAGTAAGTCCAGAAATGCCTGTATATTATTAAAAGAGACTGTGCTGATCACTTTCTCAGTTGGTTTAGGATATCTATGAAAATAACAATATTATTTCTACTTTGTTTCCCCCTATCTGCTTTTAAACAGACCAAAATTGGCTCATGTGAACTAGAAAATGAAATAAAACCACAAAAATAGCTCCATTAAAAAAAAATCTGAAATCCTTTGAAAAATGTTATGATAACATTTTAGGAGTTATTCTTGCAGATCCTGAAGGTAATAGAATTTCTTTTTACTCTTTTGTAATTTAGACAGATGGAATTTCAACTTAGAGGCTAATTTGGTATTAGAGTGTGACTAACACGAACAAAGTGTTTTGCTGGAGAAGGACGAGGCTGCACATTTTTTCTTCGCGGTGGTGACATTATTGCGTGCCATGTGCTAGCTGTTGACTTCCATATGCTGCCCCTAGGTGCTGTACCAGGTGGAGGGATTTGTGGACAAAAACAATGATCTTCTCTATCGTGACCTGTCCCAAGCCATGTGGAAAGCTGGCCACTCCCTCATCAAGTCTTTGTTCCCTGAAGGGAACCCTGCCAAGATCAACCTGAAAAGGCCTCCTACGGCCGGATCACAGTTCAAGGCCTCTGTGGCCACACTGATGAAAAACCTGCAGACCAAGAACCCCAACTACATTAGGTATGTCTGACACATGACATTTTTCAACTTTGTAATGTTTAAATGTGAATTCATTCAAGAAGAAGATCATTTTCCTGTTTGCTTAGATCTGAGTGTAACTCAAGCCAAAAATAATTTAAATACTTACAGGTCAAATTATTTGTTATTCTGAGGTTTGCCTTAAAAAAAAAAAAAGTCAATGTCTCTAACCAGTAAAATAAGGAATTAAAAAATGGAGAATTGAGTGAATCTGAGTAGTGGCACAATTTTACCCATTTTCATTTTGTTTTAAACTGATAAATTAACAATTGAAACATTAAGTTTATACCTACATAAGTGTATAAGATAAATGTATATAAAAGGAAGTCTATTGGTATCATTTTTCCAAAAGCAAAGGCTCATTTGGTATTTCTGTGTCACATACTGGTAATTCTCATATCACATTGCTAATTCTCATATTTCACATTTTCCCCCACAATGCTGTTTGCACAGTTAACAAACTACTAACTCAAACTCTTTGCCATCAAGTGACAACTCTGCAGCACTTTTCAGAGGCTGTAAATGATATATATTTTTTGTATATAAACATTTATTTATAAATATTCTTTATTCACGTACACACACACCTATTTAAACATCCACATCAATATATAAAGTATTTCTCTCCTCTCAGCCCTCCTGTTGCCTACGATCCCTTCTCTTCAGAGTCTCCATCTTCATAGTCACCAGAGGTAGCATCACTACTGACTTCCAACCACAGTTAGATTTTCTTTAACTTCTATAAACAGGATCATATATTTTTACGTCTGACCTCTTTCACACAACAAAATGGCTAATGACATTCGTCCTTGTTGCTTGCATTGGTAGTCCTTTTTTATTGCTACATAATCCTTTTTCAGACTATTTTGTAATTATCTGAAATAATAGTAAAAGAATTAAGTTTATTTCTCAAGAATAAGAAATTAATGCCTTAGGAAATAATTAACTATAAATGCTTTGGACACTTGGAGAGGCGATGTCCATAAGAGACAAAATTTAATATCTAAAATCTATGCAATTCTTTAGGTGTATCAAGCCAAATGATAAAAAGTCGGCGCACATCTTCAACGAGGCCCTGGTGTGTCACCAGATCAGGTACCTGGGTCTCCTGGAGAACGTCCGAGTGAGGAGGGCAGGCTACGCCTTCAGGCAGGCTTATGAGCCTTGTCTGGAAAGATACAAAATGCTGTGCAAACAGACATGGCCTCACTGGAAAGGCCCAGCACGGTAAGCAATGGATGGGTCATGTTTAATAATGAACATTTAAAACATTTACATAATGTGGTGTTGGGTTGGTTTTGATTTGTTTTATTTGTAAGCTGTTAGGTGAAACTTGAAATTTGTGGAAAAATTGGATGCGGCCTTGTTTTGGGGCCTCATCTGTCAGATTACTGTTTGTGCTAATTCTTGATTAGTTAGTGTTCTGAACTTTCTATCAGGTCAACACAGGGCTTATCAAGCCAACACTTAGAATTTATACATCAAGAGAAATTTTAGAATATGCCTGGAGCCACTAAATTGTTGTCAGGCATTGTCGAGTTCATTACAACTCATAGCAAATCCGTGTGACAGAGTAGAATTGCTCCCATCAGGTTTTCTGTGCTGTAATTTCTTTCAAAGCAGGTGGCTAGGTCTTTCTGCAGCAGAACAGCCGGGTAGGTTTGAACCATCAACCGTCTGATTAGCTGCCATATGCTTACCTATTATGCCTCTCAGACTCTTAATGGCAAGGAAGTAGGCAGCAGTTAATAGTTGGTATTTATATTTCCGTAGCATCAGGGAAGGTTGATGTTAGAGTTATCTTGGATTACTACTCATAGCTTTTCTCTTTTTTGCATGTTATTGTTATTGTTAGGTCCTGTCGAGTCATCTGCAACTCACAGCTACTCTGTATAGTAGCTCTGAAGCCTGCCATGTCCTGAACCATTCTCACTGACTCTACACTCCTACCCCCATTATTCTAGTTACTGTGTCAATTAATCTCATCCAGGTTCTTCCTCTCCACACTGTACCTCTACCCTTCTGAGCATGAAAATCCTTCTCCTAGGTCTAGTCCCTCCTGCCCACGTGCCCAAAATATGTGAGACAGAGCTGCAGAATCCTTGTCTCCAAGGAAAAACTTGGTTTCACCCTCTCCAAGACAGACCTGTTTATTTTCTTGGTGGTCCATGGTATGTTCAATACTCTAACATGGACAGTTTTTCTATTTGGAGAGTCTATGGATGGTAGCCTCAACTTTACCTGGATCTGAACTGAGAAATAGATACAAGAGCAGTAAAGATTCCGTGTGTATTCACCTCTAAAGCTGGCTGAGGAGTGCCACTTGGACCCCAGGCTAGATAGCTTCCAACTCATCCACCTCGAATTGTTCTTGCTGTCTCTAGATGGTCCGCCTGTCTTGTGAAGTAGCACCATAAGCTGTCCACCTGCAGAAAGAGCTTTTGAGCTTGTTGAGCAGGCTGCCACAAATGGAAAATCTGTTCTTAGGGGTTCAGTGGCCTTTCTACTACTCTCACCACTCAAAGAAATTGTCTTTATCTATGGGGTGCAGAGACTCTCAAATGAGGCCTGATGTGCCTCTTTCGGGGACCTATACTGGAACTCTTGGATCTGTCTTCTACCGTCTTGGTGTTGCTTTTATGTTCTCACTGAATGTGAGCTTTCACGAGAAGATTAATTCATAACCGTCTGCCTTTATTATAAAAGATACAAAAAATACCAGAAACATGTGGTGTGGTCTCTTCTGCATAGTTGAATAATTAAATTGTGCACTATCTGGGTACTGGGTTTTTTTAATTCCTTTTGCTGTGTGGTGGTGTACTGAGTCCTGAGTGTACCTTCTGATGGATGGTACGTCATACTCAGGACATGTCTTCTCTCTGCCCTGCACCAGTCCACAGCATGAGGGAACAAGTTAGTTTTAACAATTGATGTTCAGAGTCCAGGATGAAAAGAAATGGACAAGCCAAGTCCAGTCCTAGCTTCTGCCATGTAATGCCTACATTCCTTAGCATCCTGTTGGTTGATCACTTAGTACATCTTAAGGGACAGGAGCAATGCTTAAAATAGTTTCAAAGATTAACTAAGGAGCTGAGTTCCTGGCACACCTATCAGGCCCTGTTTGGTAGATCATTACCTGTATATTTGATACAAGTATAACCTCTAGCAAGAAATTTGAAATAAAGAAATTTGGTTCATTGAGTATTTTCTTAAAATTCATAGTTCTGAAAACTTTTTAAAATATTATTTACTAGATTATATTTAATATGTGGAATTCAGGCTGGAAAATTCTTTGATAGAAGGGTGCTTCCTAAAAGCATTTACACTTGGAAATGAAGCAGGTCTTTTTATGCTACTGAGAACTTGATATCATCATAGAAGATAAACTATTTTTGAATCTCAGAAAATGCATTTTATTTCTGTTTTATTTTTACAGATCTGGTGTAGAAGTTTTGTTTAATGAATTAGAGATTCCTGTGGAAGAATATTCTTTTGGTAGATCAAAAATATTCATCCGAAACCCAAGAACAGTATGTAATCAATATTTTTACATTGTGAACTAAATTTATATTCATAGAGTCAAATTCTTAAAATGTAAGGTCAAAACATTGCCTGAGATGATGCCAGAAATTCTACATCTTGTGTTTATTTTCAGATGCATATGAGAACGGATCAAATAAAAAATAGTGGACAAAATAGAATTTTTTTATGAAACCTCAGATCTTTGATCTAATAGATTATTCAGCACTTCAGATATTATAAGTAAACAGATTATACAACAGTAAAACTTCTCAAATTCATAGTTAGTGAGAGTAAATTTAATTTGTATTTATAATATTTGAGTTATGTAATATTTTAGAAAATAGAGCTCTACTGAGAAGTATGCGATAGCACTCAAAATAATTTTTAAAATTAACAAGAGCACTTTAAATTCTGTCTTGTAAGAATCCAGAAGAGCCACTTACTTATAAGTGAATAGATCTACATGAGTGTACTTAGTATAACAGTTAAAGGGCAATTTAAAAATTAAGAAAAGTTGAAAAATGTTCTAACTTGCTCATGAGATGAACTTTGTTAGCCTCTCCTTTTCATTAGTAGTTTGCTCTTACAGAATTTTTTTTTCTTTTTAACAGCAGTGTTCTGTTGTGTTTCCACAGGTTTATAGAGCAATTTAGGCTCCTGTTCAGTAATTTCTACCTGGGTTGTTTAGTCACATCAGTTACATTCATCCCAGTGCATGAACAGTCCCAGGGTTCTTTTATTTCGCGTGCGTGTGTGTGTGTGTGTGTGTGTGTGTGTGTGTGTGTGAAATAGAAATTGCCCATATGTAGGTTACATACTGTGCATAGTGAGTTTAAGTGTGAGAGAGTTGCTTGGATTGCAAAAAAAATAGCTTAGTGTGTACTTTTAAATAATATAATCTCGTTGCCTTACCTCTTGACATTCTCCTTTTAGTGTCTAAGAAATTATTGGCCAATTGGTCTCATCTTTAGAGGAGCACAGTATTCACGAATAGATAATTATTTTTTGAGCTAATTGTTGTTTTAAGTATCAGGTGACTTCGGGGGATAGTTTTAGTTCAAGGTTTGATGAGTGTATCAGGCCAGCAGCCTTGAGCATCCTCCAGTCTCATCCAGTCGGTTTGTGGTATTGTTGGGGTTTTTTGTTTCGGGGTTTTTTTGGTTTTTTGTTTTTGTTTTTTTTAAGAAGTTGGAAGTTCTAGTCCACATTTTTCTCCCATCCTATCAAGATCCATTAATTGAGACCCAAATTCATAGCTTTTTTTTAACACCTGGAAGTTCATTCATGTGTGTTGTGACTTTGTGGAGCTTTTGTTCAATCCATTGATTATTTCTTCTTAGTTATTCAAATTGGAAGACCTGAGGAAGCAGCGACTAGAGGACTTGGCCACCCTCATCCAGAAGATTTATCGGGGCTGGAAGTGTCGCACTCACTTCCTGCTGATGAAGAAGAGTCAAATCGTGGTTGCTGCCTGGTACAGGCGATACGCGGTAAGAGTCACCGTCAGCTAGTAATGATGCTAACCTTTGCTGGAGAGATGTATATTCTTATCATCCCTTTTTCAAAGATGCGGAAATTAAAGCATAGCTCAGTTAAGTAGTTTGCCCACATCTCCCAGCTACTAGATGGCAGTACTGGGATTTGGATCGAGGACAGCTAGAAAGTCCTTCATTAATTACCATATTCTTTCTGCTCCACTGATACAGGCAGCGGAAAATGAAAATCTTTAATTTGGCTCTTGGAAGATTGAAGAGACAGTATCATTTAAACTTGTGACTTTGATAGGCTTAATTTTGTATTTAATCCCAGGAAACTAATGCTGCAGCCGTTTATTAGAATTCTGATTTAGGTTAAAAGATTGAGAATGTTTTTAGTCCACGGATATTTGACCCTACTGACTATGGGGGAAGATTCTGTAATAAAAATATATTTGCATAGTTGATAGGAGTTTCTTTGTAGCAGTGTGTAGATATTGTTATTGGAGCATACACGTTGGAGGGACCCTTGAAGGTTTGCCTTTGAACTACCTTGGACTTGAGTGTGTGCTCACAGAATACATTGTAGTGAGAAGAACACTGCTTCCAGTGCTTTTTCATCCTGTGCTTTTTCACTGGAGAGTGAGTTGAATAATTAATTAAATTTGCAGTCATATCTCCTTTATTCTTTTTTTGGCCATAAAGAGGTATTACTCAATCAGTAGACAATCAGGACATAATATATGCCAACCTAGTCCCCTGTAATTTAGTACATTACTTCCAGTTTTGGAATTGAATACTGTATTTAAGGTGAATAAGATACTTAAATTGATGAAGGTGATTAAGCTAAAGAAAATTGCTTCCTCTTTGAAATACTGTCTTTAAAATTTCATTTTCTAGTTAAAGGACATAATCAACATGACACGTCTTCAAGTTTGAGCATTAATATTGGATTCTCTTGGTGTGAGGCCCGGTCTCACCTGGCTGGGTGTCAGTGGCTTTTCTTTGTGGGCATGGCAGTGTTGCTTGACTTGTGCTACTGTATTACTTGACATCACTGGGTGATAATACTCTGCTTTCTGTTTGCCTCAGAAAGGCGGGTGGGGGCAACCAATAGCCATCCCTTCAGGACCCCTATTTAATCATCTCTTCTTTTGAAGTTACTAAGAAAGTCCAAGTTCAGACGTGTACTAAACTTACCCATGTCAAATTCTGCAAATATTTTTGAAACACCTACTATACCAGCCCTTAAAGACTAACCAAACAACTTAATTGCTGACGTCATAGAGTTTATGAGGAATAATGTGAATGTATGCAAACAAATAATGAGAACAATCAGATTGTAGTAATTGGTAGGAACGAAAGAGACCTGTGGTAAATAGCAGTGTGACGAGGTCTAACTTTTTAGATGGCATGGTCAAGGAAGACCTTTGGAGAGAGATGATTTCATTTGGCAGTGAACTGGGAAATGATGCCAAAGAAAAGTAGCAGTTGATACTTACTCGTTCAGCTGCACACTTTCTGTCTGCTGTATGTCTGACCTAAACAGTGCTGGTTTCTGGGCCATTTAGAAATAATTACATTATTGCACGTGTTGTTGTTGTTATTAAGTGCCTTCGAGTCGCAGGCGACTCATAGTAACCCTATGAAGGAGAGTCCTCAATGCTTGGGTGTCTTTCATCCTCTCTCCAGGTTCATAGGGTTTCCAGAGGCAAGCTATTGTACGTGTACTTTGGATTAACTATAATAATTTCGTACTATTATTTGTAGCTTTTATTTATTTTTATATTGGTTTCTGGAAGGATCTCAAATGATCAGAAGTTAATTGCACTGAGCAAACACTCTTCAATCCTTGTAGTGTGTGCAAGTCTATCCCAAATGGGCATACAGGCATGTAAATGGAACAACTAATACTTTCCCTTTGTGTCCTACAGCAACAAAAGCGGTATCAACAGATAAAGAGTTCTGCCTTGGTAATTCAGTCTTACATCCGGGGCTGGAAGGTGAGTGGAGAAGAACACCTGTTTCTTTGGAATTGTTGAGCCCTTCACAAGAATGGTGTCCTTAGGCCCCCTCAGAAGGGGCTGGCTCCTCTTCTCCCCACCCCCTACCGCCCCCGTAAATACTCACATCGCAGAATAAATATTATGGGCTTAGCTGGGGGCCTGGTGACCATGTCTTGGCTGCTTCCTCCTAACTAGCTTTCTTTTAAAGAGCTTTGTTCTCTATGCAGGAAATCCTTGAAATAATAGAGTACATGATTCCAATATCCTCTTGTCTACAGTTTGAGGAGGAAGCTGGAGCCTGGAGGCAGTCTCACAGCTGTTCCCTCAATACCTGTGAACTATGCCGAGTTTCAGCATCCCCAGCCAATGTCCTTCCGTAAATTCCCAGTCACTGTCTTAGGGCCCCATGACGATTATTAGATCCTGAGCACCCCAACGTCTTAGAGGGAGTGACAGTGGTTCTAAGTTCCTTCTGAAGCCTGAGGCTTGTTCAGCAGACTATGGCCAGAGAGCCAGATTGATTCAGTTGCTTGTTCACAATTGGTTATAAAATGCAGTAAAAATACTGATACCTGAAAATGATGTGAAATTGCTGTTTTTACTGGAACACAGCCACACACATTTATTTAACATATCCCCTGTGTCTGCTTTAACACTGTAGGAGCAATGTTGGTACCTGCTACAGAGACAATGTGGTCCCAAAGAGAAATTGTTTTTATTTACTCTCTAGCTCTTTATAGAAAGCATTTAACCACCGCTAATATAGGTCAGAGATACTCTAGAGCCTGTGTTGACTACTCTCCTTTAAAGAGATTTTATGGAGCAGGCCAGGCCCGGAGAGGATAATTCCACATAATTCCATGGCCTTGTACCCGGACCAGGAGTCCTGCAGCATCCTTGACTGTTGTCTAGGCGTGTGGACAGTCCTAAAGGCTGCTGGTCTTCCCATAGCAAGAGGCAGTATACAGCCTAGGGTGTATAGTGTAGATCCAGGATCTCATTTTCCAGTCCAGAGACTTCAGAGCCAGGACCCAAAGACATTCAAGCAAGGTGTCCTTGTGGCCTCCACAGTTACTTTCAAACAACTACTGGTTTTGGACCAGTAAGATAATTTTGTTTTAGCAATTTTTAAAAATCTTTCTTGAGTAAAAAGTGTGTATCGGAGTCAGTGAGACTGATTCAGGACAGGACAGGCTTCAGAGCTGTTGTACATAGGGTCGCTATGAGTTGTAGGCAACTAGATGGCACATAGCACATCATTACCACCCGACTCATAGTTATCCTTGAGGACAGAGTAGAGCTGTCCCCATAGAGTTTCCAAGGCTTTACAGAAGCAGACTGCCTCATCTTAGTATCAATGGCTGGCATGTTCAAATCACTGACCTTTCTTTTATTTAACAGCCAAGCACTTAACCAGTGAGCCACTGGGCTCCATAAATAGTACAGTTACAGTGATGTTCCAGACAGTAGCAGTAAGAAATTTGAGGATTTTAGGGAGAATTACTAGGTTTTGTCTGGCCACATCAGGAGATGAGTTACTGCCCCTCTGGTGAATGCCAACTTACACTGTGGCGCCACCAGCCTTTCCCTGCCACTGGGTCAGGGCCTGGAAGACTGCTGGCCAGTCTCAAGCAGGCCTCACCATTGTGTTTGATGGCATCGTCACATGTCATCTTATGATCTGTTTTGAGCTAAGATACTTCCCCTTCTATTTTTTTGTAAGTTCCTATTTTTTTTTTGCAAGTAGAAATGAGTATGATAATTACTAAGTCTGCAGGTATGAGTGTATGAGTGTGTGTGTGTGTGTGTGTGTGTTTTCAAGTTGCTGCCAATTCCCCCTCCTCTTTTTTAAACTTTCTGTTATCTGGGTGATTATGCACCTTAGGCTCGGAAAATCCTGCGAGAACTGAAGCATCAAAAGCGATGCAAGGAGGCAGTCACCACCATTGCAGCCTATTGGCATGGGACCCAGGTAGGTCTGCTACCCAGGATCCTCTTGTTCAAGGGCAGACCATGTTTTACCGGCTTCGCTACTGAGCACCCACTGCCTCTCGCGCTTCCAACATCAGTGTGGTGTGGGGAGGCGGCACACGCTTCGGTGTTTTGCTGTTTGATGGTGATGGTGTCTGCCTTTTTCTCTCTCCGTTGGGGACCAACAGTAACCTTTCTTAGCCTTAAACCTCTCTGTAACTCCTTTTCACATGCATCACAGGCGCGAAGGGAACTGAGACGGCTGAAGGAGGAGGCTAGGAATAAACATGCTATTGCAGTTATTTGGGCTTACTGGCTTGGATCTAAGGTACTTGATGCACACACCCCACCGCTCCATCCGGAATTGTGCAGTAATCAGCCTGCTTTCTAGCATAGTCAAATAATGGCTCCAATTAACAGTGGCTCTCACTGGTGCATGATCTGCCAGCCACTCTGGGATCTAATCAACCTAGAGAATTTAGCGTCCTTAGTATCCACAGGAAGTTGAAGCATGTGTAGACAAAAGACTAATTGCTTACTAATCAGACCCTAGTGAAGTGGTTTTTAGTTTGATCTTTTTTGTTTGTTTGTTTGTAAACTCTGAAGCTGCATGCATGTGTGGGCGTTTTTATAAAAAATACACTTTGGTGATTTTTTTACAGATGTTGTTGGGGTAAGAGTGGCATGTGGGAACTGTTAAAGTTTAAGCTTGAATTTGTTTTCTGCCAGTGGAAGTGCTTTTAATGCATGTCTTAAAAAAATTAATCCAGGAATGATTTCCCCCCCTCACTGTAGCAGCTATTGATTATTTTAACAGAAAAGATCACCTAAGTAAAGAACTATCATTTGTGATTTAACAGCAAACTGTGCTCATGCAAAACTAGCTAGAATTGCCATGGAAGAATCCCAGGAATTTCAGAATCAGCTGTTTGCTTTCAGAAACAAAGACCTCCTGAAATATTCTCCCTAATCCCTAGGCATAGTCCTGGGCGCTCTGTGAACGTTTCACATACCCCAAGGGAGGGGAGTTTAGATATTTTTGTTTTTTTTTTTTTAAAAAAAAAATCAAAGGTCATCTCTGTTAAAAATATGTATTCCAACTGGAAAGATAAATATCAATTTAGTCTTATGTTGAGATTATTATTTTTTTATAGTCTTTATTTTTAAATCTGCCTTGTCAACCGTTTAAACCTATTTGGTGAAAAAAGCCAACATCTGCCTGCATAGGTTTTAATTTGCCACAATATGGCCAGAGTGGTTTGTGTTTTTCTTGAGAACTTCTGAAGATCAAGCTAGTTCTATTAGTAGAGTGAGGAAAAGAAATGAATCAAAGGCTAAAAAAGACACCTCCAGATAGTCCATTGGTAGGATTTCACCATCAAATGAGCTCATTTTTCACTCTCAGTCCTATATAAATAACCCAGTGAAAAAGCAAAGCAATATTCCTCCTTTTAAAATAACAAACATAAAATTAATTTTAATTTTTTTTTTAATACCCAAAGCACTTTATTGCAGATCTGGGAGTGCAGAGAGCATCCTCTCAAAAACTTCCTCTCAGTCTAAGATTGGTTATTGGTTTTTATACTTAAAAAAAGTGTTCATTCACAAGAATGTCTTTTTATACTTTAAAGTTAATGAGTACTAATAGACCTCTGGAACACTGGTGGTATAAGGCTAAAGCACTTAGAAATAGAATAGAATAAATAGAAGGTTGAAAGTTTGAACCTAATAACTGCTCCAGAGGAGAAAGATGTGGCGGTCTACTTCCGTAAATATTCACAGCCTTGGAAACCCTATGGGGCAGTTCTACTCTGTCCTGCAGGGTTGAGAGGAGTCCCAGTTGATTTGATGGCAGCAGGGCTTTGGAACAGGGATCCACAGCCTCCTTTTGGCCTTGTTAAGTCAGTAGTGAAGGCAAATCGTTAGGTATCACCCACCTTTCTAACTTCCTGGGAACGATAGTGTTTAGAAAAGGAAGCGGAGAGGGAAGGAGAAGAGAAAGAATGGACCTGAGGCGGGGTGAGTTCCTCACGTTTCACCCAGATTTCGCTTTTCAGTAAAATAAACATTCTAAAAAAAAAATAAATAAATAAAAATCCAAGTCACCAACCAGCCTAACCCTGCCTGATTCTGTGGGTTTAAATGATTATGCACTGTTCTTCTTTCATCCTAAAATCTCATGCATAAATTGGCTCTTCTGTTTGGTGGGGTGTCCCTTTCTGGTCATTTGTGCTGCGTTGGGCTGTCTCTGTTATTTACTATCTAAAACATTCTAGGCTCGAAGGGAATTGAAACGCTTGAAGGAGGAGGCTAGGCGTAAGCATGCAGTTGCTGTCATTTGGGCTTACTGGCTTGGACTGAAGGTACTTTCTCAATCACTTCTCTCTGTCCAGGATGAACTCAATAAAGCCTAGCACATACTAACTCGGAGAATACTATTGATTATGCTTGCTCATGGTCTGCACAGTCATTTAAAATGGCATCTTGCCTAATTTTTGTTTCTTTCAGAATATACTTGTGCACTAATAACTCTCTAATTTGATTGAAGCATATTTGTTTTAATAAGAGGTTTAAAGTAATATCGGTGTGGCTTATTTCATCCTAGGTACTTTTGTGCTACCTATGTGAATATGAAGTTTGTTTTTGAGTCCCTGAGGTCAAGTAATTGAGCTAAAAAGTGGACCTATCATCTGCAGTGACCAGCCTGACATTTTATTTCCTTTTACCCACTTTTCTGTTCCAGTGTTGGATACATGGAATCAAATGTCCCCATAGCAACCATCATTCTAACTGCTTAGCACAGAAACCAAAGAGTTTTATTTATGTCAGTAAACTTGGAAATTTTGATGAACTGAATGAAACTACAATAAGATCTCTGGATCGTTTTGGTTAAAGAGAACTTTCAACTCAGTTCAATGCCTTGTCATTTAGGCAGGGTTTGTTTCAAATTGTTGGTTACTGCTTTAGACTAAGAAGCAACATAAGTAAATAGGGATTTTGAGCCCTTTTTTTAAAAAAAAATTTTTTTTACTAATTTACAAAATTCAAATACATTGTTTTCAAGAACAATTTTTCCCCTCACTGCCAACCCATCAAATTGTACAACCTGATGATTAATCCACTTTTTTTAAAAGAAAGGTCAACTTTCAAAATGACTTAAAAGCAATATAAGGATTTTTATCTTTCAGTAATTAATCATGGAAGTAAGGAGCCTTCTATATTTCTTTTTTGATGATTAATTAGACACTTTTTTTTACATGATTGCTCTTTATTTTTGTTCTTTTAAAGTTGAAAAAATTAACTATTTTCTCATTTATTCACATTTTCTAATAGACATTCTAATTTTTATAAAAGGAAGGTAAAAAATAAGAAAGTCAAAATACTCTCTCCTTCTGCCTGCGGTGTCATGTTTATCATTGGTGCTCTGGATTTGACACTGTATGATTTCCACATTAGAGGTTTTTACTAGCAACGGACAGGTCAAATTCAGCTTGCAGATGATTCAAGCAAACCAAGCTTACTTGAAACAGAATTGCTACTTTAGTAGGTTGACATTATTAGGAAATAAGTTAAAACTTGTAGATTTACCCTTTAAAGTTATTCTTTTTTTTGTACAAGGGCTTACAAAGCTCAATATTTTTAGAACTCCCTCCCAGTCCATGTAAGAGAAACTCATCGTGCTTGTCTACCATGTCATGCAAGTCAGGATGCTCCTTAGTGACAAGACCATTTTATCAGGAGAGGCCGGTCCTTGGATAAGGAAATTACACTTAGAAAAGAAGTTGGAAAAGAGAGGCAGACTCGGTGAGATAGAGAGACAGAGTGAGAGCAGCAGTGAGCTTAAACTTCAGCACTGTGGAATTGAGAGGATGGTGCAGAACTGAGCGAGATTTCAATCTGTTAAACATAAATCCAGTAGAAGTTAGGAGTCAACGCCTAGCAACATCACTGTGTTGTCACCAGCCTTTTATTCCTTTTTGCTGTGTTTCAGGGGGAATGGCTTGCACTATGGAATAGGAAGACAGTATGTATTGCATTGAGCTCAGTTCTGATGAGTTCTGATAAGTGTATCCAGCTGCCTTATTGGTCTTAGAGCCCTGGTCTGTCCACTTACTGTACAGAGGTAACTCATGATTGCTGTGAAGCTGAACACTGTGACACTGATGGGTCAAATGCGATAATGATTACCCATGGTGGACAGTGTTTGGTGGAGCTCTCCGATTAAAACAAGTTTGGAAGCAGGAGTGGCCTCCACTTCCGTAATAGCTTGCCTCTGGAAACCCTATGAACCTGGAGAAAGGATGAAAGTCACACAAGTGTTTAGGACTTTCATTCATAGGGCCTACAACTCGATGGCACTTAACAACAACAACATTAGGACTTCTAGTGTATTTTCACGTAAACTCACTTGAACAGGTCCGTTTTCTTAAGTGATTATAATTTCAGAGAAGATTTTCTATAACTGAAAGCCAATTAATACTTTCCTTTTCATTTCCCTTCCAACAACATCATATTAGTTTGAGCTTGAAATGTGTATTACCCTAACAGCTTCATGGCTAAGAGAGAACTGATGTAGATTATAAATAAAAGTAAATGTCTTTTAACTTTAAAAGAAAACATAACCAGGATGTACAGTTACTCCATAGAAGCAAGGATATCAAAGACTCGGGCTTACTTGGGACACATCATGAGGAAAGACCAATAGATAGAAAAGAACGTCATGATTGGTAAAATACAGAGTTGACAGAGGTGAGGTAAATCCTGAGTGTGATGGGCTGACACAGTGACTGAAGCGGGGAACTTACATGGCTCACTGCTCATGCCGTAGCACAAGCCAGCGTTTGCTTCTGTCACATGTAACCCAGAGGTGTGAGTGAGAATTGATCAATAACTAACAATCCTTAGGTGTCACAAATGGGTTTGGGGCTCAGCTACCGAGAGATACCAGGCTGGGTCCCGTAGGTGAGGGAAGCAACAGATGGAATAGAGATTAGGAGCAGGGAAGTTAAGACAATTTGGGCATGCATTTGTCTTCTAAAGACACCGGCAACTACCTGGTCCACTAGTCCTGGCTTGTGGGAATGGATCCTGCTCTTGTTACCATAGAGAAATTTGGGTTCTTATGTGAAGTTCTTAACTTTAAAAATATATATACTTGAAAACCTTTGATCTGCAAACTGAATTTGGTTTGCTGGTTGCTAATTTACACTCTCTAATGGAGAAATATTTTGAATCTGCAATTAATCCCAGAAAATAGAAGACAAAAGAGAATGGTACATAATGTTTGAACTATTCAAATAGGCGAGTGTTTTGCTTAGTGACCTTCCCATTTAGGTCTGAATGGTAATAAATGTTTTACATTTTTCCCCTTCAATTTCAAAATAGCAATATTATTCCTTCACAAACACCTAATTTACTGCCTGGTATTTGATAGAGACTACCATATAAAATAATATGACAAAAAAAGGAAGGAAGAAATACATAATCCTAAAACTATAATTTGGTCTCTTATGTATTATGATAACTTTAAGTGTAACGTTTGCTGAAAGTAAAATTATGAAAACAGTTAATACAATGAAAGGGAAGATAACGGTAGTTTAAAAGCTTCTTCTAAAAGTTTTATTTTTAGCCACATTCAGCTCTCATCATACATTATTAAAGTTCTATCTTCATAGTTAAGGCTTGTGAAAAGAGCAGGGGAGCTTTTCAGGTAGGTTTTGCCTTTTAAAAATCATTTTAAACAGGCATTATCTTACATAATGTTTTCTGAAATATAATTCATGAAGTGTTTACAGCTATGCCTATATAAAATGTTTCTCATCATCAAATAATAATCAGGCCCTTGAAAATGTGGTAAGAGGATTTAAAACACCAAAGCATTCTGATAATATCACTTTACATATCTCCATTTCTTTTTCCCTGACTTAAAATCTACTTTCTGAATTATGTTTCAATTGTTTTACTGCATCAGAAAAGGTACTTGTAAACGTATTCCTTCAAAGAGTATCACCTGGTGCACAACAGGTGGCCACCCGTTAATCACTATCACTGGCTTTTTCTTTCTCCAGGTCCGCAGGGAATACCGAAAATTCTTTAGAGCCAATGCTGGAAAGAAAATCTACGAATTTACACTGCAGAGAATTGTAAGTTACTGCTTGCACTTGCTATAAATAGCTAATTAGCATTACTACCACCAGCAAACTAAAAAGGTGACTTCTTTAGGAATGATTAAGTCAGCAAGGATACCGAGGGGACAGTCGCCCTCTGAGTTGGAGCCAGTTCCAGCAGGTTTTCAGCAGCTGTACATCTTACAGGTGGAGATTGCCCATCTTTCTCCCTCTGAGGAGCGAGGAGATTAATACTATCTGCCTTTGAGTTCGCACTACAACTAACTCCTTACCACCCAGACCACCAGAGTTCCCTACTGAAAGGGAGAGAGTAACCTTTTTAAAAAATCACCTTCACAAGAATTCTGGTAAAAATTGCATCAGAAAGAATGATCGAGCCCGTCTATGATTAATAAATTGTTCATCTTACTGACACAGCATACTTTGGAGAAAGTAAACCCAAGAAGCTATTGAGGCGAGGTTGGACACGTTGGCAGGCGGAGGGTTGTATGAGGGGAACTGCAGCTCTGTCAGTGTGGAGACCTCTTTATGTCAGAGGAGTGTATTTCATAGGGAGGAGTACAGATTCTGGTGCCTGCTCTGCTACTTATTAGATTGTGACCACACACAGGTAACCCAACTTCTGAGCCTCATCTCATCAGCTATAAAATAGGGATAATAAACAGCACAAACCTCACAAGAGTTATGAGGATTAAGATGGAATCATGATAGAAAGTTTGTACAACAGTACCTGGCACATACTTGAATACTCTAGCGCTGGTGCCATCAGTGGACCCTCCTGGTGATGAAGTGCTCGCTGTCTTTGTGCTGCGATGGAGTAGCCGCAAGACATAGGTGGCTGTTGGGTACTTGAAATGTGACTACTGTGACTGAGAAACTTTGACTTTAATGACTGTGTTTAAATAGCCACCTTTGACTAGTGGCTACCTATTTGAAGATTGAGACTCTGTAGTGATAGTTGTTGTTAGTTTAATACAAGTATCAGTATTCACATCTTTTCCTAACCATCGGGTTGCTTGCTATCAGGAGCCCGGATAGTATAGTGCATGTGCTGATCCGTATGTCTGCACTTCAAACCTATGAGCCGTTCTAAGGGAGAAAAGTGAACAGTTTCTTCCATAAAGGTTTACAGCCTCTAAAACCCAGTGGAGGGTTATGATGAATCAGAATTGACCCAGCAACAATGAGTTGGGATTGATTTTTAAAAAGTGGAATAGAAATGTCCAAGAGAAGTTGTAAAGTTTTATAGATGAAAACTTGCTAAATTTCACAAAAAACCTGGTTTGTTGTTCATGATGTTGTTGTTGTTGTTAAGTCCCATCAAGTTGATTCCAGTTCATGGTGACCCCATGCCCAACAGATCAAAACCTTGCCTGATCTCGCACTTAGCATATGTAGAAGAATGTATTTTTCTTCTCTGTCTGACTAATCTAGTGTTTTCTTTTTTAAACTTGGCCCAGATGCAAAAATACTTCTTGGAAATGAAAACTAAGATGCCTTCTTTATCTCCAATTGACAAGAACTGGCCCTCAAGACCTTATCTCTTCTTGGATTCTACTCACAAGGAGCTGAAAAGGATTTTCCACTTGTGGAGGGTAAGAAACACCTTGTTCTCTATTTTCCAGAGACTTCCTAGCTTATATTTTGAGTGTTTAGGAATGTTATGTAGAAGCACATTTTTAATTACTCAAGACTTTGGCATTTCTGTGCCTTGCACTGTCCCTGGCACTGCCTGAGGCCATGCCTGTGGGGCTACTCACGTGTAGTTGGTGGGGAGGGCACTGCAGTTGGACTGTCTTTCCTTCCACGTTCCACTTGCTTTCAAGGAGTATGTTTTCTTGCTTGTCTATACTCGATGCCTGAGAAATAGTCCTGAGAAATCATAAAATTTTAACATCTTCAGACCAAGTGGTTAAATTTGTAGGATTTACCTTGTGAGATTTTGTGCACAGACAAAACATACACACACATGTCCACTTCCTAGTCTAGGGAGTTCTCGTGGGTGAAGAGTTGCACTGCCATATGGAAGGTAGGTGGTTCAAATCCACCACCTGCTCCTAGGGAGAAAGATGGGCAGTCTTCTCCCATGTGATTTAGGACTTCTGAAAGTCCACGGGACGGTCAGCTCTATGGGTTGGTCCTGGGCATGATGGCAATGAGTTGAGTGTGTTGTCTAACTCGAAATCCCCAGAGTCACCGTTACCCAGTTTCTTCTAGTTCATCGTGACCCTGTATGGAGAAGAGGGTTTCCAAGGTTGTAAGTCTTTATGTAAACAGACTACTTCATCTTCCTCCCAAGTTGTGGCTGCCAAGTTTGAACTGCCAGTATTTCCATTAGCAGCTCAATGTGTGATCCACCAGGACTGTTTTGCTGTACTAAAGAGAAATTTGTTGGACCTCTTGTCTTGCTTCGACTCCCTAACTGTCACCAAAGCCCAGTGGAATCCTGGGCACTCTGGCCAAGTAAACATCACCAGCATATCAGATCTACAGGAGATGTTGCCCTCACCTGGGAACTCAACCTACTGTGACAGCAGTGTACTATAAAATGGAAGAACAGAGACACTAAGTCACAAGATGACAGTCCTAGGGCAGAAGTTAAGAGGCAAGGACCTTTCCCAGTACTCCCTCAAACAGAAATCCTTCCCTAAAATAGCTAACGTTCTCCGGAAACTCTATGAACAGTGCTCAGGTCTTTTGTTCATAGGGTTGCTATGAGTCGTCTATGACTTGATGGCACTTATAACAACGGCAACATAAAGCTACGTTGACCTAGTGGACAGAAAGTTATGCTACCAGGCCCAAGGTGGGTGATTTTAATCTGCAGCCTTCAGGCCTGGTTTAAATTGTTTTTTTGTTTGGTATAGCACTGGTCTGTGAATTGCTGTACGGAGATAACTCGTGGTTGCTGTGATGCTAAACACCGTGACACTGATGTGCCAAATGCAATAATGGAATTGGAAAATCAAAAGAGCCAAACTTGGTAGACATTTCCTAAACTGAAGGAACTAAAGAACCAAGTCAAGCCTCAAGTTGCAATACTTGATGCTGCTATAGGCAGAATATAGAATGATCCACTAAGTAGTAAAAGAAGATACAAGTAGTAGACAGTCACTGTGCCAAAAAGAATTGGACATCACAGAAGAATTTCATGAAACAACATACATGATCCAAGAGGCAGTGGTTTTGAAGGAGGAAGTTCAAACTACTCTGAGGCCAAAAACAAGGGCTCAGGAGTTGATTGACCCATTGACATATTTCAACAAATGCCACCGTGGACATGCTTATCAGGTTCCAGGAAATCTGGGAGGACAACTCCCTGGCCAATTGACTGGAAGAGATCTATATTTATTCTCATTCCAAAAAATGGGTGACCCAACAGAGTGCAAAAATTATTGATCAATATTACTGATAACACACACTAGCAAAATCATGTTGAAGATGATCCAAAAGCTACTGGAACAGTACATTGACAGACAACTATCAGGAATATAAGCTGAATTTAGAGGAGGCCATGGTACTAAAGACATTATTGCCAATATCAGATGGTTCCTTGCCAAAAGCAAACAGTACGAGAGGCATGTCTGTGTTTCATTGAGTATTTAAAGGCATTTGACTGTGTGGATCATAATAAATTATGGCTAGCCTCGAAGCTGAACATCAAGAAGATAAAGATTCTCACCACTGGGCTAGTTGACAGCAACATGATAGATGGAGAAGAAATTGAGGTTTTTAAAAATTTCAGCTTATTTGTCTCCACAATCACCACTCTTGGCACCAGCAGCCAGTAAATCAAAAGACATATTGCATTGGGGAAGCCTGCTATCAGTGACCTCCAAAGTGCTAAAGAGTAATTATGTCAATCTAGAGACTAAGGTGTGTCTGATCCAGGCCATGGTCTTAGTAATTACTAGCTGTGCATCATAGAGCTAGACAATGACTAAGGATGCCAGAAGAAGAATCAATGCCTTTAAGTTGTGGTCTAGAGAACAGTATTCAGCATACCATGGCTCACTAGGAGAACAAACAGATCTTCCTTGCCCAACAGTGTAGGCGTGTACCATAAGCATGAGAATCCCATATCTAGAGAGTAACTTTTTGCTAATTAGTATAGTGAACAGGGAGCTCTGGTTTGGGTGGTAAAGAATTGCACAGCTGACGCAAAGGTACATGGTTCGTATCCACAGCTGCTCTGTGGGAGAAAGATGAGCAGTCTCCTTCAGTGCTATTTCCTGTCTGTCTCTGAAAACCTTCTGGAGGGTCAGCTTTGATTCAGATCCATCTTAACAGTACACAGCAAAAAAAACATAATGACCAGTACTGGCATTACATACTGTAACAAGATTTCAAGATTTGTTTTCTAATTCTTTAAGTTGAGTCTGTTAAGTTCACCATCCTCAATATATCATCTTCCCTTTTGAACCAGAGAAAGAAAATTTCAGCTTAGTAACCAGAGAATGGCTGATGACAGGGCTCTGATCTGACTCCTGAGTCTAGTTTAATCTTCTTGTGATGGAATGTAGGAGTTGAGAAGACTGTATCCCTGAAGGGAACTTTCCCTTGGAAGAAGTAGGCAGCATGACTAACTCTTCTTCATACAATTATTGCATTCATTTAGCTGTACCTGTAACTGAATTTCTTAGCCCATCTAAAAAACTCTTGGCCCTGCCCTTCCCACCACCTCTCACTCCTTTCAGAAAAAAATCTTAGAATGGGAGGGGGGGTTGTAGGGCCATTTCTCTAGCCTCCTGTCTACATTGTAAATTGGGGATGGGAGGATTTGGAGTGGTGGTTTCTCAAGCTGCAGGTTAACCCATCCTATGAATCATTAAATAAATTTAGTGTTTTAAATGAATGCAGTAACAAATGAGGAAAGGATAAGTATTGTTTTCTAAAGCTTTCATATCACTTTGTCAGTTTGTGGCAATTACCTGTTTGTGTCAGTCATTTGTCTGTAAATATATGCACTGGGTTGTGATGTGTAGCGTTTTTCTTAACACTAAGCACCAAAGAAAGAATGACAGCCGAAGGACTAGAAGATCCCCAAGTTCTGACTTCTTAAGCAGAGGAAACAGCACACCCAACAAGGCCCAGGGCAGCGAGGTGCCCCTAATGGGTTTTGAAGAAGCATGCTACATTCTGCAGTGCAAATAAGAGCTGTTACTGCATTTTCCAAGACAAGTTTTTTAAACTCACAGAAGAAAAATGTTTCAGAATTCCCATTTGATCTTTTATATGAATGCTTCCTATATAATCACTTTTATTCTTGTTACTGTTACACTGACAGCATACTTGCTTCCTTCTCATATTTTACAGTGTAAAAAATACAGGGACCAGTTCACAGACCAGCAGAAACTTATTTATGAAGAGAAGCTAGAAGCCAGTGAACTCTTCAAAGACAAGAAGGCTTTGTACCCATCTAGGTATTTTTCTTTGCTTTATCCATACCTATTTGTAAAAGTTTTTCAAGTATTTTTAAGTGAAGTTTGGATCAGTAATATAGAAGAGATTTTCAGTTATGTGAATTGTTCTATAATGCTTGTAAACACATTGGCTTCCTCAGCTCTAGCAAATCTGTTGGTGTAGCCCACAGTATTTTGTGCTGATATCTTAAAAAGCTGTGTCCCCACTGGTTCAAATCCATCAGCAGCTATGCTGGATAAAGGTGTGTGCAGTCCTAGTAAGATTCAGTCTTGGCAATGTGTTGGAGGGTCACTGTGAGTCAGAACCAACTTAACTGCAGTGAGTGATCCATGACTTGTGAGGTGTGTGAAAACATTGAGCCCATTTACTGTTATTTGAGTGAGTTCCTTAGAGTTTGATTTCCACGGCCTGTGCAATGAGTTCAGTTCCTGAACTGTAGACACTGTAGACACAGATAAAAGAGCCTTAATTGCAAGTGTACCAGCTGATGCCGTTGGTATTGACTCTTTTTCTAAATTCTCTTACATTTCTAACTTTATCATTTTCTTCAGCATTCTCATCTGATGTTTATAAAGCAGATTAGACACTTTCTGAGTAAATGTGTAGCAACTTTTAACTTCTCCCAAAGAGTGGCCTAGAGGTAAAAGTGGAGTCTGTGCTTAATGTATTTGCATAGATTCCATAAATTGTATTTATGCTCTCTACATCTTTATCCACATTTGAAAGCTCTTCCTTTTTAAAAAAGATTATGTGAATGTAAATGAGTAGACTCATTTGTTTTAAATATTTTCAGTTCCTCCCTCAGCTACATTTGTCAGCTTGAGGGGGCGGGCATGCACCTCCTCACCCAAGCACAGTGACTAGACTCAGAGTGTCCAGGAGGGCTGTGTAGAAAAGCACATCAAACAGGGAAATTGTCTCTATGCTTTCTTCAGCAACTGATCATATTCAGCTTTTTCTTTATACATTTCTAAATCAGAGTGTAAATTTCCTGACCTACATTCCTTATAGATGACTATTCAGAGTTGGGAGGGAGAAAAGACTTTGTTTGAGGAACCAAAATGCCCTTAACATTTTTTTATTATAAATAAAACCACATTTAAATAATAAAAAATAAAAGATTAGCATCAAACCAAGTTCTTTTTAGGTAGCTTTAATAGTTTTATGGGTGGAATAATCACTCCCACCTCCGTGTGGGGTAGCAGCGGCTCTGATAGGCAGAGCCCTTTCCTATCTGGGAGCTGTGAAACTCTGACCACCTACATGGATTTTTTTCCCACTGGTCCTCCACCCACTGCCCAAGCAGTTAACTGTGTATCTGCAAATCACTAGGATTCCGTGGCAAAATGAAGCATTTGGTATCTTCTAGGAGCAGTACCGTCTCGGTTTCTTTGACAGAAATCCTTTTCAGGGGGTCTTCTCACAGGTCTTTTCAGGAGATCAACAGTTCAGTGATGTGTGAGAGATACGTGTCTTGAAAGAGTTAGACTGTTGGAAAGAGAACTGCTGAGAGTCGGAATGCTTACTCAGACATTTCTCTCCATTTGGGGCCATATCCTACCGTAGGATAGGCTTGATTCTTCTTTCATTCTTCTTTTATTGATTGTTCTTTCTGCTGACGTAGGGCATTAGCCAAAATGAAAACCCTACTGAGGTAGAGTCAGTCTGAACTCAAAGTGACATTCCATGAACTTTCTGAGGCTGTGGATCATAATGGAGCAGACTACCTTATCTTTCTCCCCAAGGAGCTGCTCGCCTTTTACCTAGTGGTCCAACACATGGTTTCGATCCACCAAACCTCCTGTAAAGCCTGGGAGACTTAGGTTTTCACACCCTTAGTAGCCAGGTGATTTGTAATAGTTTTCTCCTTAAGTGGGATTCTAGATCCAGTCTTTCCCAGAATGCTATTGATTTCTTTGCTCTCTAATGAGAATTAAATTTTGCTCTGAATCAAGCTATAGTAATGATTTGTGTTCATTCTTCCATTGTCATTGTCACACATTATTTAAAGGTGTTAGTAAGGGCTTCATGCCCAACTGTTAACCTTGTGTAACTTAGAAAAACTTAACTGCTGTCAAATTGGTTCCAACTGTACTGACCCTCCACGAAGTTTCCAAGGCTGTAAATCTTAGGGCCACTATTGTAAAACAGGACTGACAGTGGGTTTGAGCCAAGACAGAGAAGAAGGGGAGGAATGAGGTATACTGCATTGCAACAAATGAGGGAGAGAACTGTGTAAAAGGGATATATGATTAGGTATTATTGTCATGACAGGAGTCCAGAATGAAGGCTGCACAGTGGAATGGACTCGAGGGGAGGGATTATATAGCAATGAAAGAGTTTTTCTTTTACTTATCAAGGAGAAAAGTGAATTAGGGGGAAGGGGGTGGGCAGGGAGAAAAGTGCAACAATGAATAAATGGAAACCCTAAGTCTGTGTAAACATTCATTAAAATTAATTAAAAAAAAGAAGAAGAAGAAGAGCCTGCCTGTTCTTCTCCCTCAGAGCTTTGGTGGGTTCGAACTGCACAACCTTTGGGTTAATAGCACAACTTGCTACCAACTACGCCACCAGAGCTCCCTAGCCTGGTGTTAGAACCAAGAGTTGCCATCAGATCAATTTGAGGCAGCAGCCTCATGTGCGTTAGAGAAGAACCGAACTTTTCAGTGCAGTCACTTTTCAGGAAAAGATTGGCAGTCCTTTCTTCTGAGGCACCTCCTGGGGAGCCCAATCTGTTCCCTTTTGGTTAGCATCTGAACCCATTAGCCATACTCAGTGACTCAAGCAGGTAAAAGAGAGTGAGTACTATTTCCTACATGGGCTGCTGCACACTTGAGTTTTAGTTGTGATTGTGATTTTTTTTTTGTCCTGAGTACTCTAGGTGATAAAATTTTTATGCAAATTCTGCCAAATGTTATGGTTATAAAATGTTAAAAATAGGGATTTCTTTCCGATTCATTTGCTAGCTCATATTTAGGATAAATGCAAGTATAATATACAAAATCTATAAGATAAAATAATTTTTTATGAAAATGGCCCTCCTTTATGTGATTACTTTTCCCCAGTAATATTTCCATTGGAAACCGTTATATGGCTTTTTGTTCCCCTCTAGTGTTGGGCAACCATTCCAAGGGGCTTACCTGGAAATTAACAAGAACCCTAAGTATAAAAAGCTCAAAGACTCTATTGAAGAAAAGATCATCATCGCTGAAGTTGTGAACAAAATTAACCGTGCTAATGGGAAGGTAAAATACTGATTCTGGAGACTAATGCAAAGTGGGAACAATTTTCCTTAGTGTTCTGAATGGTAGCATTTACTCTTCATATCCCTACAGCTTGCTCTGACGAGGCCTGTTTTCCTTACCTTGAAGCTCAAGCAGATTTTTCCTTGCTGTTTGGAAAGTTTTCGGATTTTGTCTGTGCTCTTTAGTCTGTATTCTATTTACATAGTTTATGTGTGCTGAATGATTGATTGGAGGGAAAAAGTCTGCATTTGTGCACAAATTCAGGGAGAGTTTAGGGTGTTTTTGATGGTTGTTCTGATTTGTGTGTTTTAGAGTACATCCCGGATTTTCCTCTTAACAAATAATAATCTCCTCCTTGCTGATCAAAAGTCTGGGCAGATCAAGTCAGAGGTTCCCCTGGGAGACGTGACCAAGGTATCGATGAGCTCACAAAATGATGGCTTCTTTGCCATCCACCTCAAAGAGGTAAAGTGTCAACTGGTGACTGTTTGAAAGATGTCTTCACTTGTCCAGACTCTCAGCCCTTTCACCTTTCAGACCTGCTAAATTGTTTTACCTGAAGTTTATATACCTTCTCACTGATTTATAAACTTAGTCTGTATTCACTTAGTTGTGAGATCTCAGGCTAGATTTTTCCATAACTAAATAAGATTCATTGTTTTCATCAACTAGTTCTTTTGAGCTCTTTATTTAATGGAATAGCTTTTTGTTTGTGCCTACCATGATGGGCCATGGACTTTACTTTTGAGACTGGATGTGAGGAAGACAGAGGGAAGGAGGAAAATGTGCAACGATGAATAAATTTAAAAAATCTTATGTAAATAGATGAGAACTTCAATGGATTAAAAATTTTTTTAAAATATTCACTGTATCCAATACACAAACAAAAAAGATTTATGTGAAGTAAAAAAATGAGAATACATAGAAATATTAAAACTTCTCAATTGTTATTCTCCCACTTATTTCCTCAGTATGCTAACTTAGCAAATATTTTTTTTCACCTTTGCTTGGGTTTTATTTGAAATTAAAGATTGCAACCATAATAATAATTGCCTAATAATTTTGACCTGAAGATTTTTGAAAGTTCCATGCATTTAGCTTATAGCTAGAAGCTCCTGTTTGTGAAGGAGTCATTAAGGCTGCCATTGATCTCACAACTTTGTGACCAGGTTTGGGTCATTTAACTAGTGTGTGCCTATCTCATTCTCATTTTCCTTATTTTTAAAATGATGATATAACTTACAACTATAGTACCTATTCTTTGTGAAGATTAAATGTAAAGTGTTTAGCAAAATCCTTGCCATATAATAGTCACTGAGTTAACGTGTATTGTTATTTTTGTTATGTGCTGTTGAGTCGCTTGTGACTCATAACGACCCTATGCACAACAGCCCTAAACTCTGTTCTGTCCTGTGCCAATCGCACTGTCTTCTGACACTCCCATCCCGATTACCCCAGTCACTTAATCAGTCCATCTCATAGAGGGCATTCCCCTCTTGCGCTGAGGTCCCTCCACCCTCCCAAGCATGATGTCCCTCTCCAAGGATCGGTCTTTCCTTACCACATGTCCAAAGTATGTTAAACAGAGCCTCAGAATCCTTGACTTTAAGGAGAAGCCCGGTTTAACCCTTTCCAGTAATGTGTATTAGCATATGTTAATTGTGTTTATTGTTATGTGTCTTCAAGTTGGAAACAACTCATAACTGATTTTCCAATGGGAATTCAGAGCCTGTATACATCAAACAGGAGGAGATTGCCCATCTTTCTCCCAAGGAGCTGTTGATGGGTCCAAACTGAATGCCTTTGGGTTGGCAACACAGCTCCTTACCACAGGGCTACCAGAGCTCCATTCATGTAGCTGAGAGTGCCATTTCAGCCGATGGTGAACTTAAAAAACCTTGTTAAGTTTAGCCCACACTTTTTATCTCATGTATAACCTAAGCTTAAGGAGTAATATCAGATCGATGATTCCTACCCACGTTTACTTATTAAAATCACTTGGAAAACTTTTAGAAAGATTGATACTCAGATCATATCTTAGTCCAGTTAAACCAAAATTTCTCCACATGGGGCACAGGCATTACTTTTTTTCTTCTTTTTTTAAGCTCCCAAATGATTCCCTTGTACAGTTAAGGATGAGGCGACTGCCCTCAGATTTTCACTGGAAGTAACACTTCTGTTCTTCTTGTTGTTGTTTCCAACCGTATCCCTAAGGAATTTTTAAAAATAGCTGTTTCAGAATAGTGAGAGTTAGATCAGTGCTTCCTGAACCACCAAAGGGTCTTGCTGTGGGCTCCAATTCAGTTCCTTCTCTGACAAGCTCCTACATGGTGTTGATGGGCCTCTTGTTCATTTGATCTCCCTAGCAACAGCAAGGGGTTAGATAACCTTACTAAAGTGCTCCAAGCAAGTTGGGAGAAAATCCTGCTTTTGGCGTTCTTGTTAAATTGAGAGAATGGCCTCCAGAATCCATTCTTTCAAAAGAGATTGTAAATACATTCTTTTCAGTTTAATCCATAGACATTTACTTCCTAAGCTGCCTTTACTCATGAAAGTCTGATTCTTGGTTTGCCTTTTAGGGCTCAGAAGCAGCTAGTAAAGGAGACTTTCTCTTCAGCAGCGACCACCTAATTGAAATGGCCACCAAGCTCTATCGTACAACACTCAGCCAAACCAAACAGAAGCTCAATATTGAAATTTCCGATGAGTAAGTTCCTGGACTGCAACACTTTGTCACTTTCAGCTGTTTTGTTTCAGTTCAGCACCCTGATCACGTGCATTTATTTATATAGCAGGTATTAAGTACTGAGTAGATGTTTGGCTTTGCACTAGGTGATGGATGGGCAATGAGTGAGACTAATCAAATTTCATACTGATGATGATACAGTAAGAAAGGCAACTATATGGTAAAATTACCAGTGAGTGATATGGTTTGAGTTAGTGATTGGGCTTTTGGGGATGACATTAGGCAAAGGCTCAGAGTTATTTTTGATAGAATAACAAACAGGACAGTGACATTTTGCAGGTAGTGATTTTTGGGTTGAGACTGGAATCTTGCACCAAGGAAAAGAAGGAGTCATGCAACCATCTGAAAGAGATGCTTTGAAGGGCAAGGAAGACAGCAGGGGCAAAGACCCTGGGGTGGGAGACAGCCTTGCAGAAGGGTGAGTTAGAGTATGATGGTAGAACATGATCATGGAGAGAGACCTAGAGACAGTGCGGAGCTCTTCCTGGGGACGCTGGCAAGCCACTGTAGGTTTTAAGTGAGAGTGGTGTGGCAGTGGCATGATCTTACTTACGCTTTTCAAAGTTCACTGTGACTGCTGTGAGGACAGCAACAGTAGAGCGGGAAGAGTGAATGCAGAGAAATGCGTTAGGAGGCTCTACTCTCCGCTGTGCAGGGTGAGGCTGGCATGTGTGTAGGATGTGAGAAATAGATTCCAAATGCCATGTGAAGGAAATAAAGAGGACTTATTAACAGATTGCATGTTAGTTTTTGAGCCTGAGCCCAAATGCTGGTGCCATTTAATGCTGTAGGTGACATTGAGAAAAGAAGGTTTGGGGTAGGAGAGGATGGTGTGAAATCTAGATTTCTGTTTTAGATGTTTGATGTTGAGATGACTTACTGGGTTGGTTTTTTTTTCATGTTTTAAAATAGACTTATAAAATAAGTCTTCTCTGTTGACAAGGTTTTATTAGTAGCAAGACTGGTATAAAGTTGAAAAATGTACTCTTTCCCCCCACCCCCCCACCCCCACTCCTCACTTTAGGATTCTAATTATAGAGGCTGTATTTGGCGTATTATATACACCTTACATTTGCATGTTGATACGAGATCCTTTAAAGGGGTATGAGTTACAGTGTTAATTGGTTACTTTTCAATAATTGTCTACTACCTGCTTACATACTTTGCAAGTGTAGTATCAAGTTCCATAACAAGATTGCTTAGGAAACATTTTCTAATTTTCTAATTAAAAATTTGCCAGCCTATTTCCGCTCTTCCTAAAAGTCTTTCTAAAGGGAATTACTCCTCCGTCCAGCCTCATTTTGTAAGCATAACTCCTTTAATGCATCAGTGCTTACAACTTCTTGGATTCTGACTGTATAACAAGGTTGTTAGACTTAGATGAGAGATTGTAATACATTTCTATCTCCACATTTAAAATTGCTGTTTTGATGAAATAGATTTTGTCATTTTGCATTTTAGAGGGAAAAAAATAACAGCTGATTGTATTTCAATTAATTGGAGTTTTAACCTGTTAGGATCTGTTAGAGTTTTAAAGCTCCCTTGTAAACTCACTGCCATATAATCCATCTGATTGCAGGCTGTAAATCTTGACATGAGTTTGCCATCTTTCTCCCACAAAGCCACTGGTGGACTTAATCTGCTGAAGGAGCGAGGCTTGTTTGGTTAGCAGGGCATTCCACACTGCCTCACCAGAGATCCCCAAACTCAAACTCATAAAATCCCTTTAGTTTTTCACATTTTGGATGTTGCACTTCTGTGCTTCTTTGACTGCTAATTCCCACTCATGATGGGAAAAGTATGCATCTTGCAGACAGCAAGAGCCCCTTCATATATGATGACTCAGCCTCTTGGTTTGTCTAGTACATTAAGAAGGCTATCTTTCCAGAGAACCAAATTCCATGCCACAAAGGTCTTCCTTTAGACATTTCACAAATGTGTGTCTTCAAATACTGCCTTTGTAGGGTGTAACAACATGCTGAGAAATGACCTGTTTTCTGGTGGAAATTGTAAATCTTTGCTGCACCTCTTTCTCAGTTTTCCATTTGATTGAGGTCTCAAAACATAATGACCCCACTTGCTCCCCACATGAAAAGTAGACGGTTTCCTGGCTGGTTTTTCAGAAGCAGACCACCAACTCTTTCTTCCAAGGTGCCACTGGCTAGACTCACCTACATCCTTTCAGTCAGCAGCTTATTATTTGCACCACCTCCTGTCACAAGTTGTCATTCTCCTGAGGGAGTTTGAGGAGACAGTGTTATGTTGTAGTCCCAGACTTTCATCCATGAACTAGGATCTACACAACAGTACACAACCGAGGAGCCCCAGCAGTGACTCATAGTTTATGTTTACAGTTAGAAAGTACATGAAGAAATCCATGTACTCAACAGAGATACTGCTTTATCACCATAAGTGTGACAGTGTGAATGCCATCAGCCTTCAGCAAGCCCAGTTTTCAGAGTTAAGTTTTACAATATTATTGTTACTGTTGTTATGTACCATCAAATTGGAGCCAACTCATAACTGACCCTCCATTGGATTTTCAGTTGCTGAAAATCACACAGAAGGAGATTGCCCATCTTTCTCCTGTGGAGCAACTAGAGGATTTGAACCACCTGATTCTGGGCTGACAGTGTAACTCCTTACCCACTACAGCTCCCTTTACAATGTGACCATCTTTTTATGAAAAAGAGAGATTTTGAAACTAACCCCTAAGACTGTTCTCTCCAATTCCTAATGAATGATTAATCTCACAGTAATAATAGTTGATGAAACCTTGCATTGCACCAGTGAGCCCCTTCCCGGGCAGCACAAGAAGGCTTCAGAACGAGGCTGGAGTGCGTCTGTTTCATAATCCCCAGGAGCTGTTAAGTAGGGATTATGAATTGCCATAGCGAGCATTGTAAATTAATTTTTTTTTCCAAAGCAGTGTGTAGGAGTACCTGGGGCGTTTTTGTTTTTAAGCCCTAAGAAGTGGCTGTATTTCATTTTATTGCTGCTGATAGTATTTAGTGTGGTAAACAGTTCAGTGATTAAAACCTTCCTCAGTGGATTGATCCTTTTCAGAAATACACGCTATTCCAGCAAACCTGATTTCTAGAGCAGTATGAATAAATTTGATGGTAGATATGTGAAGACCGTTGAAGTTTGAGTAACTTAGTTTAACCAGCATGTGTAGAGGATAATATCTGATTTCATTGAGAACACAGTTTCAGTCGCCCTATGATGATGCCTAGTCTTTGAACTCCTAAACAACTGAACTTGTAAATAGACTAAAAGCATCTTCAAATGATCTGCAAGGTATGTAGTATTTCTAACAGTGAAGTCTTAAGTTTGGTGAAAACTAAATGCAATGTGTTCTAGTAAATATGTTAAATATACATGTGCACCTATCCATGTACCCATATTCTCTCTCACACACATATAAACACATGTTGTTGTTATGTGCCGTCGAGTCGCTTGCGACTAATAGCGACCCTATGTACAACAGCCCTAAACCCTGCTCTATCTTGTGCCAATGCTGTGTCTCTGACCCATCCCGAATACCCCAGTCACCAAATCAATCCATCTCATAGAGGATCTTCCCCTTCTGCGCCGTCCATCCACCCTCCCAAGCATGATGTCCCTCTCCAAGGACCTCTCCCTCCTTACAACATTTCCAAAGTATGTCAGACGAAGCCTCAGAATCCTTGCCTCCAAGGAGCAGCCTGGTTTAACCCTCTCTAGGATGAATCTTTGTTTTCTTGGCAGTCCAGGGTACATTCAATACTCTTCTCCAGCACCACAGCTCAAGGGCGTCAATTCTCCTTCTATCCTCCTTAGTCATTGTCCAGCTCTCTGATGCATAACAAGTGATTGCAAAGACCATAGCCTGTATCAGATGCACCTTAGTCCCCAGAGTGACACCATTGCTCTTCATTACCCTGGAGAGGTCCCTAACAGCAGACTTTCCCATCACAATACTTCTTTTTTATTTCCTGGCTACTGGTGCCAAGAGTGTTGACCGTGGAGCCAAGCAAACTAAAGCTGTGAACAATCTCAATCTCTTCACCATCCATCCTGATGCTGCCAATTGGTCCAGTGGTTCACTCATTTTTGTGATTATTCAAATTATCTATGAGAGTCTAGCAATCCATATGGGGAACTGTTCTACTTGCCATGTTAGGGTCATTCTGAGTTGGAATCTACACGATCTCACGCAACATTTAGTGTTGCCTTTTATTGGGATTTCGAGCTCGGCTGCTAATCCAAAGTTGAGCAGTTCAATCCCAGCAGCAGCTCTAGAAGACAGCCGAGGCAGCCTGCTTCTGTAAAGGTTCACAGCTTCGGAAGCCCTCTGGCAGTTCCACTGTGTATAAGGTGCTGTGAGGGGACATCTAGTCAAAGGCACTCCTTTGGGCTTTATTTAGAACTGATAATAATGGATTCCGTGTTAGTATTTTTCCAGAGAATGACTTCACAATCATGCTTCAGTTTCTGCTCCTAAAGTGGAGATAAAATAGTAATACCTTCTTCACAAAGCTGATTTAAGGCTAAGTTGGTATGTGAATTGTTGAGAACAGAACGGTGCACAGGGGCCATGGAAGTTAACCACTGTTATTTCCTGTGTGTGTTGTGATCACACACTGTGAGGACAAACCGTGAGCTAATAATGTATGCTGAAGTTTCTGACAAAAATCATTTCTATATACTTTTTCTTTTTCACACAGTATAACTGGTTTTGGGAAATATAACTGTAAGTGTTTTACTTACAGAACTTGAAAGGTGCCTTTTTTGGTGTAAGCCCCAGATGTGTGAATATGCTGGCGAGATGGTTCAGATGAATGCATGTATTCCTTAAAACGTGGCTCTTCTTCTCAATACTCTCAAGTTGAGGAAAACAATCCATTTAAAAGCTCAGGAAACCTGTTTTTAAAACAACTGATAAGTTAGACTGCTAGGTTATCATATTGCTCTCCAGTAGATATTTGCAAAGAGGGGGCTTTTTAGACCTTGAAGCTGAGATGACTGTGTACAGAGCAGAGCTTTGTCATTGCTGTGGTGGCAGTGGGTGATCATATGGTTGTTAGGATGACTCACTCAGTAACACATCCGCAACTCAAAACATGGAAAACATTGTGATATTACACTGATTATGGTGTTGGAAGAAAAGGGAAACAGTTTGCAGATGGTAAAACCATCTTGTTGTCCAATCATTTTGCTCTCTTTTTCCCACATTGATGTGGTCTTTGAGGACTGAGACCTCAGTTTCCATCTGGGTGTCCTGCACAGAAGGAAGCTGGTGTATGTTTTTTATAAGAAGTGGTGAAGAAACATCCTTTGGCAGCCATGTGAGCCCTGCTGAGCTATAAAAGGCCAGAGTTCAGTTTCCCACAATGTACCACAAGCACTACTGGTGAAGGATGCATGTGATTTTAGATAAAGCAGAGATAGGACGTCTTAAAAATGTTACAGCTTTATAAGTGTATGTACATATAATGTTGTTAGGAGAGGCTGTTCCATGGAAAGGGACATCATGCTTGGTAGGCTGGAGAGTCACCAAAGGAGAGGAAGACCTTCAACAAAGTAGACTGATAACAGCGTCTGTGACAATGGTCATAAATGTGCCCGGGGTGATAAGGACTGCCCAGGATAGGACAGGGTTCAGATCTGTTGTTCATAGAGTCACTATGAGTCATACTCAGTTCAGCAGCACTTAACAGTAACAACAACAGCAGCGTTAACAGTGTTATTTGTAATATCAGAATTGACTCATAGTTGTTCCTCTAGCGGGATTTCAGCAGCACTAAACCACGTAGGAGGAGATGGCCAGTCTTTCTCCCACAGAGCATTTGGTGGATGAGAGCCCAAGGGTTTAGGAGTTAGTAATGCCCCAGCTGCTCTGTGGGAGAAGGATGGCCAATCTGCCTCTGAAAACCCACCTGAGGTCAGCTAGGAGTCGGTGCCAACTTGATGGTACACAACAACAATGCAGCCTCTAAACCACCAGAGCTCCCATAAAAATGCAATCATATCTATTCAGTAGTTATTAGGAAAGTAGAAGTGCCCCATCACACCAAAGGGTTTCATCAGGATTGTTGCGTAAGTCACAGCTAGTTTGAAATATATTCATAGAAGTTAAAAATAACAATAATTAGCATAGTGTAGTGATGGGACAAAATGGTGTAGAAAATTATGTGAATGACATTTGAGAAACCAATCTGGAATGTCTCTAAGATCGCTGCCTTCTTATTCTGAAACTCTTTATTTCATTTTCTGGATTTGTTGACAGTTTGCTAGCACGCCTCTCTCCATTTGTATTTTTGGTGTTCAGAATCAGAGGAAAAAGGAGTTCTATAACATGTGTTGCTCTTTTCATGTGAAACCTGGGAGTAGTTATTCTTAGTTTTTCTCACCTTGCAGCAATGAGATGAGTCCTTGAGCTTCCATTTACTTGGGGCTGTTTGAAGGAATATGCTGCATAGTATAGAATGATGTGATCTTAATGGGAGAAGTGCTCATGGGAAGGACAGGAGCTGCTGGAGATCAAAACCCTTATAAAAAGCTCACAGCGGTGTAATTATCAGGTGCTGTATCATTGATGAAATTATCAATTGCTTTTCTTTGATTTTTTTTTTTTTTATTCTTTCCTCCTAGGTTTCTGGTACAGTTCAGACAGGACAAAGTATGTGTGAAGTTTATTCAGGGCAGCCAGAAAAATGGGAGTGTCCCGATGTGTAAACGAAAAAACAACCGGCTCCTGGAAGTAGCTGTCCCGTAACTGGGGCCCACTCTCTGCGGCCATGGACTTGTCTCTTTGTAACCGTGCAATTGGAGTTTTGTTTTGTTGGGGGTTCACTCTATGTTTGGTAATTGCCAATGACTAATAATAATGAGTCCATTGGCAAAATAAAAATATTTGACTAATAATTTTTATTATTGAAATAGTTTTAACCCTTAAAATACATTTCCTGTCCGATGGCAGGATTATAGAAACTAATAGTGTCTGGGCTGTGCCATATGTGGGTTTTTTATTTTAGTCACCACATTAGATCTATGTACCATAAACCAACATATTATTAAAAAATCATTAATACACCTAAGTATAGAAAGCAGTCTTTAAAGGTATTTCATCAGATATTTATTGAATGCCTACTATGTGCTAGGCACTGTGCTCGATGGCATAAAAACTTATTAAGAACTTTAAAATTTTATTTTTTTTTATCATTAAGGCATTTATATTCTGGTGGATTTGTGTTGATTTAATTAGGGCTCAAGAGGGCTTGAAAATACTGAGACCAAAACGACGATTGTTAATGACAAATAACATTATTGGGAACCTTGTAGTATGGCTGTTAGCATTAGCTGTTTCAAGAAGGGCTGGTCCTAGGGAGGAGTGGAAGTCTATGACTGGGTGCAATGTCTCCACTTGCGGTTGCTCTTTGAAGAACTACTACTAATGTTTGAACAAGACTTAATCTATCAGGTCTCTCATAATTGCTTCTAACAGTAGAGAAGAGAGTCATTTTTATATTTTAGAAATGACCAGAGTAGTCCATGAAGGCTCTATTCCCTTGTTCCTGTTTAACATCACCTACAATCCTATACTACTTTCTGTAGGGTGTTGCTTTGACCTGAGTTTGGGTAGATCTTTTTAATCAGCTAGGAGTGGACCATGCTTCATTCTGTGATACAGAGTTCCGTGAGTCGGAGCCACCCAGCGGCATCTGAACAACAACAGGATGGCAGAGGGTTGAAAACCTTTCAGGTAGTGGCAGGCGTTCTGTACAGTGTGCAATAGAACATCCAAGAGCAATTTTTTTGAAAGTTTTATTTATAGTACACATTTTTGTATAAGAGAAGTGATTGGTACAGGGTGCATATTTTAAACAAGGTTTAAATATAAATTTGCTTTCATTTGCAGGGGTTTTCTCTTTACTCCCACCCACCAGCACCCCAAAATTTCCAATCAGGATTATTTTAGAAAAGATATTTTAAACTTTGGAATCAAATTGTTTCTTATTTGGGAAGAAGATATTGTATATACATCGGTGTTATGTTAAATAATAAAATTGTTCTAATTTGGTGCCATTTTCTGGATCATACCTGTATTTGTATTTCAGTCTGTGTAACTAAATCTCATTTCTCTTTTATAACCCAGAAACATTCCTTGAAATTCTTTTAATATTTGTACTTTATTTGTACTTTTAAAAAAAAAGTTCACATAAATAAGTTCTTGGAAGCTTTTGTGTTTATTGGCCCAGGTAGAGGGTATCATTATTTTCTCGTAAATCTTTTCAAACGTGCCCACAGTTCATGGTTCCTGGTGTAGGTAAGTAGATGCTTGGGACTAAGACTTTGCTTTTTTTCCCAGCTGTTTTCAATCTGAAATACAGTCACAAGCCAACAAGTAACTGAAAAGATATACAGTAAAAATTCTCCATCTCCTTAGTCATCTAATATTCTCACTCGCCAGTGTTAAGCATTGTTTTAGCTGTTCTTGTATGACTTCATGCATATGTTTGCAAGAGCATATTAAAAGGGAGATTGTTATCTTTTTTCCTTTTAATAGGGCATAAGCTATTACGCTATGCCGTTAAGGGACCTCTGGTTGTTTAGTCTGTAGGAAGTTGTGCTGGTAACCCCAAGGCTGGTTCACATTCACCAGCAGCACTGCTACAGAAGGACAGACAGTCTCCTCCCGTGCGATTTACAACCTTGAAAGCCTGCTGGAGAATCTTCTCTGAGTCTGTTCCAATTTGATGGCTGTGCACCGCATTGTATTATGTTATACACATTGGTCTTCCATTTATCAGACTGTCATAAACAGCTTGCTTTCTACAGTAGTATAATCACCTAGGACTTACATAATACCAGTTCCTTCTTGATGACCTGTGAGATATTTGCAGAAAGGAACTTTAAATTCAAGGTAGAGAGAGCCAATAGTGTCTGGGTCTCCTTGTTAAATTTTCCTGAATACCCTATGTGAAGACTGTGCATAATGAGAATTAATAGCAACAGTAGTTAATTGCTTTTCCAGAGGAAACAGTATCGTTTTTATGTTTAATCACAAACTTCACAATCAGTGTGCTGCAAAAATTTAAAATAGATGTACAGTTTCAAATTCTACACGTGCTTGTGGCGTTTACAGTCTTGTCACTGTAATATTTGTTGTTAGTCATAGTCAAGTTGGCTGTGACTCACAGCGGCCCCGTGAACAGCAGATCTGATCATCGCCCCGTCCTGCACCAGCTTCGGGATCCCTGTCATGCTCAAGGCACTATGGTAGTCACAGTGTGGTATGTGACCATCTGGCTGTCATGGAACTCACGGTAAGTGCTGCCGGACAGTTTTGACTCCTAGTAACCCTGTGTGACAGTTGAATTGCCCCATAAGGTTTTCTTGCCTGTAGCCTCTGTGGAAACAGAGCAGCAAATATTTCTCCAGCGCAGTCACTGGGTAAGTTTGAACTGCTAACCTTTTAGTTTGCTGTTAAAACACTTTAACCTTGTGTGCCACCTGGGCTCCTTGTAACTTCACGTGGTGGGAGAAGTCTGTTGAACTTGCCCGGAAAGCATGCTTGGGTACGAAGATGAGATTTGCCTGTTTGGAATTCCTGAACCAAGGTAGCTATTGGGAGGAAGTGTCCCTGAAAAATACAAATAGAAGAGCTTTTCCTGTCCCATCACAGTGTCCCTCATCCCCTCTTCTACTCTATAGCAAGCCAGCAGTCAAGGAAATGTAATTGTTGAGGAAAGCGATTTTCAGCCTAAAAATTCTAAACTTTGGTTCTTAAACTTGGTTACCTGTCCCCAGGGAAGCCCAAACCATCTTTGTAGAAACTCTCCACATTTTATTAGGAGTGCTGGTGCATTCTGGGTGACCTGTTGGGCTACCAAGCAAAGGGTGGAATCCCCCAGCTGCTCCAAACAGTCTATACTTGTATGATGGACAGCCTTGGAAACCCAGCAACGGGTGGTATCAGGCAGAATCAACTCAACAGCAGTGGAAACTTGCTTTTTTGTTGCTTTTTGTTTTTCACATTCACAGTGTGAGAAAAGCAGTGATAACCAGAATGGTATTTTGGAGAGAGCTACAATTCGGAGTCCCACTGCGGAATTAGTATGTGCTGTCAAGTCAGAACCAACTTCGATTTTTCAGAGGCTGTAAATCCCACTGGAGGAGATTGCCCGTTAGTTGGTAAGTTGAACTGCCAACCCAAAGGCCGGTAGTTTTTCTTCACCAGTTGCTCCGAGGGAGGAAGACGGACAGTCTCCTCCTCCTGTGTGATTTACAGCCTACAAAAACCTGCTGGATAGTCAGCTGTGAGTTGATTCCCACTCACAGCAATGAGGTGAGGTGACTGCAGAGTCCTATTTCCCAAAATGTCACCCAGAGTCAATGTGTGTCACAAGGAATGCTGGTCTTTAAACATACACACAACAAAACTACAAAACCCATGCATATTCCTGGGGTGTAACCACTGATCAAAATCTCCACAAATAGAGAGTAGATATTCTAAAGGCCATCTTCAAGGTACAGCTCTGGTGGCCTAGTGGCAAGAAGCTGCAGTGCAATCCTGAAGGCACATGATTCAAAGCCACTAACTATTTCAAGGGAGAAAGAGCGGAGGTCTCCTCCTGTGTGATTAACTACCTCTGAAAACTCAGCTCTGGGTCGGTTCCGACTCTACGGTTCAACAACAACCATGGCTTCCGTAAGCATTGAAGGGTGAGAACTACTGGGAAACATACTATAGCAATGCCAGAGGTTTGATTTAACAAGTCTGCTGGGTGATTCTGATGCGCACCGAATATGAGAACTGCTGGTCAAGATGTTTCTGCAGCAAAACCCAGCATCAGCCATCCCCCGGTGCCTCGCTGGGGTGCGTACTGGACCTTGCATTGCCCTAGAACAATGACTGGGTTTCTGTCCTCCTCCTGCAGTGAGAATTCACACACCTCAGAATATCTGTGTTCTGGCCTGATCACACGGCTCTCACCTGTTGCCAGCCACTGGTTAGTTGTCCAGCCCTTCGTCTAGATTAATAGGTGTGGTTTGTGCTTCAGAAGTTACAGGTTTCAAGAGTCAGATCACAGGAGTTGTCAAGATGTACAGTCTGGTTGGTGGAAGTTATTCTTAACATTTTCCTCTCCCACAAGTTAAAAATCATGGAATCATGCCTATATAGCAGACTGGTCCTTACTGTTGTTAGGTACCGTCAAGTCGACTCCAGCTCATGCTGACTGAGTACACCACCTTGGCACCTTGCCTGACCATGCACCACATCACCCTTTACTGTCCTTAAGCCCGCTATTGCAATCACTGTGTCTGCCTTGTTGAGAGCCCTCCTCTTTACTGACCCTCCACCCTTCCCAGCACAGTGTCCCTTTCCAAGCATCACTGGCCCCTCTATAGCATGCCCAACGTATGTGAGATGCTGTTCCTCCTTGCTTCGTCCTCTTAAGTGACACATTTCCCTGCACTTCTTCCACCACAGATGGTTGGTTCTTCTGGCAATCCAGAGTATATTCATACTCTGTTAACACAATTGAAAGATACCAGTTCTCCAGTCTTCGTGTTGTATTTAACACTCCTGAATGACTACCGTGGGCCCAGTACCTAGATAGAGATGCATCTACTCATACCACAGTGATGACACCAAGGGGGTGTTGTTATGGTCAAACCAGGACCAAGGATGCTGAGGTTCTGAGAATCATTGGCACGTCATCAGAATTGAGGATTTGGCTGAAATCGAAGAGAATGCACTGATTGATTGTG